AGGTTCAAAATCAAAGGAATGAAAAACATATACTATGAAAATACCAAGTTGCAGTTGCCATTTAAATATCAAAGTTAACTTTAGAGTAGGGATAGTATTACTAGGGGTTTCTAGTAATAAATAAGTCAGTTCATGAAAGGCCAGAATGTTATATACACAAAACCCGAAAGATGTGTTCATATAACTACAGAGCTTTAAAAACAGACAGCACAGCCCTGGCTGGTGCGGCTCAGTGGATACCGGCCTGCAAAGCCCTGCACCGGTTCGATTCCCAGTCAGGGCACAGGCTTGGGTTGCGGACCAGGTCCCCAGTAGTGGGTGCATGAGAGGCAACCACACACTGATGTTTCTCTCCCTCTCTCTCTTCCTCCCTTCCCCTCTCTAAAAATAAACAAATAAATAAAATCTTAAAAAAAAAACAGTAGAACTGAAAAGAGAAATACACATTTATAATTGGACATATCAACACTCCTCTCGCAGTGACTGATAAACAGACAGAATCAGCACAGCCGTTGAAGTTGTGAACAGTACCATCGACCAGCCTGATCAAATGAGCATTTGTAGGACATGCCGTCTAGAAACAGCAGAAGACCTCTCATTTTCAAGTGCACACGGAACATTCACAAAGGAGCACTCAAACACCACGCAGTTGTCTGACGGCAACTTAACCGATTTATTTGAGTTACTTGTGGTGATCTAGCATTGACTGTCCACATTTTCATCTATTATTTGTATCAAGGTAGAATATTTCGTAAACATTTCACATAATGTTTCTCATTGGCTTTGCTTCCCCCCCTTTCTATTGTCGTTACACAAAAGTTTGGGGTAGAAAAGTCCTGTGTTCAGTCATCTTGTTTCTGCGGACCGAACTCATTCATTAGTCATCACAAACGGCTGTAAGAGCATCTGGGATTCCAGTTACATCTGTTCTTCAGTCCAGCCAAAAACGTTTTTATTCTCAGCCCTGTGACTCTCTGGCGTTGAGTTCTCATTTTCTGTAAAGGTAAGGGTTTTAGTCACGTGACGTGCAGCGGAGAGAAGCCTTTCCAGAAGGAGCCGCTGAGCGTTGCCCTTCGCTGGCTGGCTCACCGAGCTCCTGACAGGACGCTAGAGAACAGGGGACAGGGGAAGGTAGTCATTAGCGAAATGCCACTTGGATCATTGTGGCTCGAATGTCGCAGGGTCATTGCAGGGCCGGTTTATGAAACTTGCTTGTCTTCAGATCCTTCCAGCATCCGCAAGTTTCTAGAAGTTACTTTTCCTTCCCTGTCATCTTCTTTCTCCTTCTCATAAAATAAAACTTATTATACTAGGACTGTAAGAGAGGGTGAGAAGCACTACGATTTCCAGTCATACTTATCACACTTAATTACGGTGTCTTCCTGGTCCTCAGAAATAAAGTGCACGTCCATTGGAAATGTCGGTTGCTTTGGAACAGTCAGGATAGAGAGCAGGAAGCGGGCAGAAGCTGTGGCTGTCCTCCCTGCAGCGCGGGGTTCTGGGCTGTGGGATGTGATGCCTTCGAAATGGGTCTGGAAATGATATGATGGGCTACGACTGCAGAAAGTCCAGTATGCAGGACAGAAAAAAAACACAGGCTCTGAAGCGTGTGGGGCTGTTCTTATCCTCAGCTGCGGTAGGATATAGCAATAAGGAAGTTTCTGAACTAAAATAAGGGCCATAGATTTTATTTGGGTCACTTTGCTACAATTCAGGTTTGTCTTTAATTTTACCAGTATTATCATGCCATTATAACTAAAGCTTTTATAATTACCGTTTTTACACAATTCTCCTGGGTTCTAGGCTGCTCTCTGCTGCTTAGTAGCAGAGAAACCTTCAGCAGATTACTGACTTATTCTCTTTAGGTCTGAGATTCCTCAGCTACGAAAGAATAATTAAGCTGTATGTATCTAAGAGAGGAACTGTGAGGGGTGAAAGTAGGCATTTCTGTTTAGCACAATGTCTGGAATACATAGAGAGCTCATGAATTTCAGCTCAGTATTGCTCCCTAGTAAAGTCTGCATTGAGCTAAATTTGCAAGTCAGTGTCAGCTTAATCCTTTAGCTATGGTCTGAGGACATTGGTTTTTACGTCCCATGTCCTCCCTTGGGGGGTGGGTTGGGGAACGGAGGGGTAGAAAGAGCGACCCTGTCGGAGCTAACGAAGGAAGTGAAATAGTCCTCCGAGAAACAAGGCAGTCGAACTAATTAAGACCCTAGTCTTAAAACCAAAACCAATCGGAAATAATGTCTGGTTGGAAATAATAATGTTTTCACTTGTGACTGTAATAAAATTGAACGTTTTTATAGCAAACGAAATAATATTTAGCACTGATACTTTGGGAGCTGAGAATCATTAAGAAGATGCCCTCCCAAAGTAAAAACCGTAGCTTACAGCCAACTTTAGTCAATAATGTGGAAGCTAAGAAAATACAGGTCAGCTTTCTTCATCACTGTCACTTCACATCCAGTAAAATGCGCTCACGTCACTTAGAGTCGGAATTGTCAAATGTTAGTGTTAGATAATTTTTGAAAGGAAGTTGGCGTGTCGTCACAGTACAAACGATACTGAGTGGAATGCTATTGTTTGCCACTAAGATATACCGTTGTTTTAATTCAGTTGTTTAGCGAACGCACCGTCCCCATTGTTTTCATCAGTTGTGTTTTCAAAGGCAAATACAGGTTTCAGCCCAGCTGTTGGAGTCGCTATTGATTTTTGGATTAACTGCTGTTTTAAAATAAGACGTTAGTCTCTTTGGTAAAAAGCTCCAGGTGGGTGCTGTCAGAGGAGAAATACACTGGAATGAGCTATTGATTACCGATGGCTCTGACATATCAGTCTAATGCCAACACGGACCCGTCTCTGTGGGGCCCTCGAGAAGAGCGTGGCCGGCCCTTCTCACTGGTCCAGCACCTTCCAAACCCAGTGCGGGCCCCTCCCACTGCCGGAGGCCAGCCCTCCTACCCACACCCGAGGAGTCGCTCCCCTGCCCACCGGGATCCAGGTGCGCACCTCTCTGTGTGGTTGTAAATCAGGCCTTGCGGCACAATTATCTGTATTCCTTTTCCTAATAAAATGTACATGCCTTGGGAAGCAAACTGGAGCACACTCAGCTCCACTCACCAGATAAGTCGTTGAATATCTACTCGAGGACAGTGGCTGGGTCTGCGACGGGAACGTCACACAGCTCTGGTCCCTTTATTTCTCGTGGCGCCGAGTCCCCCTCCGACGTTTCCCCTCCTGAATTCTATGACACTCCTTTTTTTTCTCCAACTTCTCCTGCCCCTCCTCCACAGTGTATTTTGTCTCTTTGTAGCAGATTTCTGAGGGTGAAGATGGCCCCCCTTTCAGTACACTCTCCCTGGGTGACCCCCTTTATCCCCAGGCACCTAAAACACCATCTGCATGTCAGCGGCGGTCGGTTTTGTATTTCTAGTCCAGACACCAGTTCTGAACGTCACATCCACGTACCCCAACTGCCTGTGAAGTCCCACGGGTCCCAAAAAAATGTTCTAAAGAAAAGCCTGCTCTTTCCCCCCAGATCTGGTCCCACTCCCCAGGAAAGCACCTTCGCACACCCAGCGGGCCTGCCAAAGTCCTGGACGTGATCTTTGGTGTGTCTTCTCCCTCACCCTCCACCCTGTGCCCTTCCCCGGGTCCCGCTGATTTCTCCCTCCACCGTGTGTGTTCCTCTCTGGGGTCTGCTCTCTTCCACGCTGCCCGCGAGTGGACCTGCAGAGCGGACACGGGGGTCCTGTTCGCCCCTCCGGTCCTATCACCGGACTCAACACGGTGATTTTTAGAGTGTTCTGCAGATCGGCCTTAATAGTTCCTTTGTAACTCTTACTGTTCTCCAGCCAAGATGTTGAAATCCTCAGTGTGGCTTCAGGTCTCTCTGTAGCCAGGCGGTCCCTCCCAGCCTTTATATCACCTGTGTAATTGGCAAGATTCGCCTCCTTGGATGACCGTTCGTCCAGGACCCACCTACCCCACGGCTCTCTGAGATCTCCGGGGGGCAAAGACCGCCACTGTTCTGCTCACACTGCAGACACGGGACTCCACGCATGGCAGAGAGTCAGTCCGTATTTGCAGAAAGGGTAGAAGTAGGAAATAAAGGCTCAACAGCACGTTGGACTGCTATATAACAGAACGTGCTCACAAACCGACGCTGTGACTTCCCAAGTGGAAACAAATTCCTGACAGCCGCGGGAGGACCCTAGTTCACGGCCAAACCAGGCTCCCACTGGCCTGCTAGACCTTACCATTGTCATTACCAAGGAATGCATTTGGCAATAGAAAAAAACATTTTTTATCAGTTTGACATCATGTACTAATTGATCACCTGCTGTTTGCCTTGCACTGTCCCAGAAGCTGGGACTGCAGCTGGGGAGATGCAGTTTACGTCGGCAGGGGCGGGGGCAGTAAGCAAGCACATGTTGGGAGCTAAGTAAAGTGGGGTAGTGGCGTGGGTAGGGTGGTCGGGGGGGGGTCTTTGAAAGGGTGATATGTGCACTAAGTCCCGCGTGACAGGGAGGCAGCTGCTGAAGGTGGAGAGGAAAGCACCCGGGCCAGCAGGGTCTGCCTGTGTGGGGACACTGAGCAGGTGCCATCGGGCACGGCTGAGAAACAGGACAGGCCGGAGGTCCTGGAGTCTCGGGGAGGATGGGTCCGAGCTTCCAGAGCTCACCATACCTCGCTCTAAAGTGCTGACTCTCCCCTACCGGCTGCTTGTCACAAAACGGAGACAGTAGGGGTGCCCTGCGCATGGGAACGCTGCTAAGTGGGGGAGGGGGGGTTCACGTGAGTCATAATGCCCCTCTCGGACAACTTAGGCTTAGCTGATCTGCCCTTCAGGGTTTGTGTCAAGGAGAAACGAGTCCAGGGAATGTTCAACTGAGGGCTGTGTTTATGTGTTTAATAGTTTACTAATGGCTTACCTTTGAAGACTGTGCTGCTAATTATTTACAAACATTCATATTTACCTTGATTTCTCACCAAAGGTTAAAAAGCTGAAGAGGGAGCTCTCACAGATGAAGCAAGAATTGCTCTATAAGGAACAAGGCTTTGAAACATTGCAACAGTGAGTATAAAACTACTGAAGTTGACTTTACAAATCATTCAAAGCCCCATAACTAACACAAGTACAGATTGCATAATAAATCTCTCAAAGAAACATCAAGTCAGAAGCTGAAACGCTGCAAAAGAAAAAAGGAAAAAAAGCCGTGAACCAACCAACTAACCAAACACTTGGGAAAATCTATGTGCCATATTTTTTCATGTATAATGCCCACTTTTTTTTTGCCTAAACTTTTGAGAGAAAAATAAGGATGTGCATTATACATGATTATAATGATTACATACTATGGGTATGATAATGGGCACAATAATCCTGTGTATGACGCGCACAAAAAATGTGGGCGTGCATTACACACGGCAAAATGCGGTACTTTGCAAAGGTCGAAGTTTTTATTCATCGCTGGAGATCCAAAGAAACCAAAGTGACAGACTTCGGTTTGTCCCCTGGCCCCTGCCAGCTGCCCTGACAGTGCGCGTGGAGCTGAGAGATGGGAATTTGGGTGCCCCCCCAGTCTTCCCCAGGGCTGCACAGAGTGTGTCCCCTGGCCCGGCCCTGCAGGCGGTGGCCCTCTGCCTCCATCGGGGAGGGTCAGCAGAGGAGCCTGAGTGAGTTCCTCACTTCCTGGGCACGCGCTGTCCTTTCCAGGTCCATGCTGACAGTGGGGGTGCTGGCACGGCTCCGGCTGGGCGGGGTCGGGGGAAGCCGTGGGAGACCCAGGGTAGCAGGGACTGGAAATGTACAACCTGCTTTCAGCCCCTGGGGGCCACTCTGCTCCTTGCCCTGGAGGTGCAGCCTAACTGCACTCAGACAGGCTCCCCGAGGCAACCCAACGCCCATGGCCTCCACCCACAGAGGCCCTGATGCGGAGGAGGAGGAGGCTCGTGTTCACAGCCAAGAGATCACAGAGAGGCTTAGAGGCCTCATCCCGAGAGGTGTTCAGCTGCGTCTCCTTCCCTTTTCCAGGATGCCGGGCGTGGTGTCCCCAGCCAGGGCGCAGTGTTGGTAGGGATTTCCCTGGGCAGCCTCGTGTTCAGGGTTCCCATCCTCCCCCACGTCTCCCCCAGCAGTGGTCCGAGGCCGCGAGGCATCATCCCTTGTCGAAGACCCCAAGTGTTTGCTGGGCAGGCAGACACGCTGGTTGGTCTGCATGTTTGGATGATGACCTACATCTCGGATACCCACTCACTGCTCTGGACTACCAGTCACATGATGTTTATTTCTGACATTGGTTTGGTGGCTCACTCTTCTTTTTTTTTTTGCCTACTCACTGCCTATAATGCCAACCATGACCTTGATTCAGACAAACCCACCCACCCTAGTGGTTCTCAAACAGGCCCACACGTGAGAACAATCAGAGGGCCTCTGAACAAAAGTCCTGCTTCTGGCCCGCACCCAGGCACATTTTACAAGATCCCCAGGGGGTGCCTAAACCTGGCTCGGCTCTACCAGCTGGTCGCAGAGCTCCCCTAGGAACCAGGAAGGCCCGGGGTGACGTGGATGTGCCAGTGAGTCAGTGTGTGTGGGCCCAGAGCGGCAGAAAAGGGCTTTGTGGCCGGAGTGCAGACAGAAGGCAGATTTTGAGGGTGCCACCAGACCTTCGGCCACACGTTAGCCATTTTTAAGGCACGTGAAATGATTACTCTCGTCCCCACCCCGGGATTAAAGGTTAGCCAAACTTGCTGTTTTTGTTACACTGATGTTAACAATGCCGTATTGTTTCAAAGCCGTTTGCCGGCAAGCAGTTTTTATAGGAATCTGAGGCATGTTTCAGAATCTGTCAATAACATTCCAGGAGAAAACAACGGCCATTTGTTGTGAGAACTGAGGCCTTTCCCCCGCAGCGAGGCTGACCCCGTGAACCAGGGGTGGGAAGGCATGAGAGGCCACTGCCGCCCGTCCGTCTCACCTGCAGACGGGACGCGGGCCAGCTGTTCTCATTCTGGGCGACCCACCCCGCTGCCAGAACCCTGGGTAACAACTGGCTGAACCCACAGGCCACACTTTCCAAGAAAGCGAGTTCCTGACACAATCAAGGGACTTTTCCTTGCGGTCACGACAGAAAGTATATTTCAGGAAGAGATTTAAATAGAATCCCACTGCAGGCTTTTGCTACCTTTCACGTACTCACAATAGAAAGAAATATTTTTGTTGAATCTGGAATTACAGTGTAACTTAAACTCGGGCTTTCATTTCACTTGGTACAGTAGGTTATGCCAGATGAGTGAAGGTGGTTTTATCCTCTAAATTATTCATTTCATTCTGTCTGAGGTCCCAAATTTGACTTCGGCCTAAGCAATAGTGTAGCGTGAGTCGGTGGATACCAGGAAGAAGCGTATTTCCACTCTGCCGCCTCCAGTGGCACTCAGCATTGGAAAAGGCAAAACGAAGAGACACCCAGTGAGCCAAAGCAGAGACAGATTCTGGGAAACTTTGGCTGCAGGGCACTTATTTTGGGGGAGAAGGCATGCAAATGGCAATCTCTTCTCTTTCAGAAGAGACTAAGATATGGGCAAAAATTAACTATAGGGTGCCCATAAACCAAGAAAAAATTTTTGATTTTTTAGGGAAAAATATAAAATGGTATATCTCAAATTAAGAACAAAAAACACATTACTTTGTTTTAAAAATCAGCAAATAATGTTCATGTTTTATTGTACTGTTGGTTAGGGTCAAAAGGAAAAAAGGTGGAAGATGGCAAGTGGGAGAGAAAAGGGGGAGACGTGGAGGAGAAGAGCCACGTGGAAAGCAGAGCGGGCCAAAGGAGGCGGGGGCTGGGGAGGAGAGACCCGAGGGCTGCCCGAGGTGGCTCACCCCTAACGTTCGGTGGAGCCGTGGAGAACCAGGAAACGCTCATCTGTTTTTACAGCTCTCTGAACTTTAAATTAGCAGTCTCGAAGGAGCTCTGCTTTTATTTTCAGATGCTGAAGTTTATCCCCGAAAACAGCTAACCTGCTTTTCTTGTTCCAAATGTTAAAGTCAATTTCTGAATTAAAGATTTGTTTTGCTGCTAAATTCTGAACGCTTCGTCCGCATAGAGAGAAAGCCCTCGGGCTTTAGGAAGCCGCTCTGACTCAGCGTGAGGCTGGGACGTCAACCTGCATCACCAGCCGTTTCACGAACTCAGAGTTTTTAAGGGTCAGCATGAGCCTTTGCCACAACTAAGTTTAATATTAAGGGACTCAACAATTTCACTGGTAAATCCCTTCCCCAATAAATAGAATTAAACAACGCTCAAAGTGTTTTTAGTGTTGTTATCAAATGTTCTGAGTTGGACAGTTGTAAGAGCCCCAAGCGGAGTCTGTCACTCTGAGGACAGTCCCCTGACCAGCAGACTGTTGGGGCAGCTTAGGGGCCACACCCGACTCGCCTTTCTGGCCGCGGTTTCTTCCTGCGGAGGAAGCGGCTGGTAGCTCTCCAGGGTCCCTTCCCGCCCTAAACTCTGGGTGCGCGTTTAATTCAATGATTTCACTAGTTGTACTTTTTTTAATCAAATGACCTTATGATGAAATTTATTTTATTTTCTTAGGTTCTGTAAGACTTTAATTGCTTGTTCAGAAGCATAAAATATGAACTAAATTAGTGCCAAAGGGAAATAATGGTATCTACACACCGCACTTGTTTGAGTGAACTTCGGAAGAGTGAATAAGATGGCCTGGTAGGGGGGTTGGTGTTTTGTTGTTTTTGTGTTTTGTTTTTCATTAAACCCTTCCCATTGAAATAAATATAAGTCATTAAATGTTTTAAAGCCAGGGAGCTCAGAGCCGGCTTCCTGTGGCGGCTTTTCTCTGTGGGTCAGACCAAGAATATGCCTGAGCTGGAGAGCAGTGTCCCGGGCGGAGGCATGGCCGACATCCGCCTGGAGGGCCCACTGTGCTGCCCGCGAGAACCCTGGGCAGGTGGGGGGCGGGGGAGGGAGGCTCCCGGAGCGGGATGCGCAGGAGTTGTCAAACCGTTATTCAGGAAGAGTCGGGCGAGCTGGTGGGGCCCGGATCACACACAGTGAGGTCCCGGGCAGCCCTCTGACGCAGGGCGACCACACGAGCTGCGGGGACACCCGGTAAGCTCCTCTGTGGGGGGTGAGTCAGCTCACGGAAGAGCCCTGGACTCCACGCTGACAAAGGAGCCCATCCGCCCTCTGCCTTACTCCTGGATCTGAACTCATTCAGCAAGGCAAAGCAACGTTACCCCCGCTCATAGTTGTTATAAAAGTAGAACAGATACGTTTTGAATGTGTAAAAGGAGTGGAACACTAACCACATGATCTGATCAGTGTAGCGTGCCCGCTGGTGTGAGTAATGCCCGCGGCTGCCTGCCGAGGGCCCGCCAGGCCGCGGCGCCGCGCTGCCTGCTCCACAGACACCTGCAGCTGCAGTTCGGCCGCAGCGGCGAGCCCCGGGTCCCTGCGGTTGTCCGGGCATCTGCGTTCCTGTCCTCCTACCAGATCGGACCTTTCTCAGGCTGGAGCGGGGTCGTTCTCCCCGTCTGTTTCACTTGCACTCTGCCATTCTTTGACTTTTTTTTCCTTCTCTTTTTCCCTCTTTGAACAGAATTGATAAGAAAATGTCCGGAGGCCAGAGTGGCTATGAACTCAGTGAAGCCAAAGCCATTCTCACCGAAGTGAAATCCATCCGAAAGGCTATTAGCTCGGGAGAGAAAGAAAAACAGGATCTCATGCAGGTGGGTGGGTGGGGGGGTGGTTAAGTCAAGCCACCGCCTGCTGGGGCCCCCACACGCTCCCGGAGGCAGGATTTCTCCGTGGGCTTGCCCACTGCCCACTGCCCCGTTCATACCTTCCGGTGTGAACGCTGCCCGGGAGGGAAACAGACGGCTTCCGAGGTGCTGGTGTGCTTACTGGGAGGCCGGCTGCGATGGCCTTTGAGGCGGTGGGTGGTAGACCGTGAGCCCACATAAGGAGATTAGCGTCCTCGTGCACCCTGCAGCTCACGGAAAGCTTCAGGCCCGACCCCAGATAAGCCGGGTTATCTAAACTAGGGCTCTTCCGCCCGGGACGCAGAAAGGACGAGTCACCTGTCATCCGCAAGTTCAGAGATTCGCCTGGGGCAGAGGAGCATCTTCTGTGAGGATCTTAGAAAAGCTCTCTCCACCCAGGTGGTCGGTTGTAGGAGTGGCATGGGGAATGCTGACCTGGCAGGGGACATCTGCGTGCTCGCCCTAGGGGACCTGCGAGTGGCAGCCGAGCCCCTTATTACCCCTGTGACCTCAACACACAGGTCTCAGCTCCCAGCAACCCAGCCTCATGCGTAGAAGAACAAAAAAACAACCATCTGTGAACAGTGTTCTACGTCCTGAATCTCTATTTAGCAGACATAATGGTGTTTTTTAATGAGTGTGTCTCTTCCTCCTCTTCCCCTCCTTCCATCCCATAATTATCACCAGTACTGAAAATTCTTTGCATATTTGGAGCTCTTTACGCAGCCAAGTGAGGGTTAGTCTGTGTTTGGGGGGGCGTCAGAGTCCGGGGTGATGCTGGCATCTTTCAGAGAACCTCGGACTTTAAACACTGTGTTCAACTCCTTCATGTCAGCTTTCAAAATGCTAGTTGAATGTAGGTAAATGGTCTCGAACCCGTATAATTTGCCTTTGGGCAAGTTTTACATCATTGGCAAGGAGCGATCGAATGGGAAAGACAGTAGTAATAACAACAAATGCTTAGAAGTACTGACTCCATGCCAGGCAACCTTCTGCAGGCCTCGCGTGGAAATAGCAGTTCCGTTCTCCCAGCAGTCAGTCCTAAAGACGGGCACGGGTATTACCCCCACTGCACAGAGAAGGCAAAGCCCAGCACCAAAAGTTAAGTGACTCCCCTGAAGTCGACCGCCGGCACGCAGCAGGACTGCGTTCGAACCCTGCTGGCCCTGCTCCAGAACACGGGGTTTTAGCACAGACATAACACATAGAAGACGTTACCTGGGTGTGTTTTGTTTTCGTGTCATGATGATCCTGCCGATTACATCAGTAATCCCTGAAAGGCACATACTGGGTCCTCTGAACATCTTTCACGGAACTTGAACAAATTTAGAGTAGAATCTTCTAAATCAGCAATTTTAGGTCATCTTCAGTTCTTCCCGTAAACTCTGGGTTTCTACACAGGCCAGAGTAAATTACAAGATTAGGTTCCTTCTTAATTACTAAAGTGTGTCAAATACTTAATCAGTAGATCCGGAAGTCAACAATAGAACTGGAAGGGATGTTGGGTATCTTCTAGGCCCTTCAAACTTCTGTGACCACGGGTCACAGTAAAGACTGTATTTTACACCAAATCCCACCAACGCACAACTGTCTTTACCTACAGATTCATACGAAAATGTCAGGAAGTTTGCCTGCTCTTAATACTAGGAATGTCGTCTGCCTTCATTTTCCAGTCCCTTCTATTGCTTTAAAAAACACACTAGTCGTGACCTAAACTGGTGTGTGTGCTGTCTGCACAGATGGGTGTGCAGAACACGAACCTTCTCACTATACAGAGGAAAGCAGAAAAGTCTTGCCCAAAGTCACTAACCAATTTCTTGGTTCTTTTCTGTGATGTATTATTATTTGATATGACCATTCAAGTTATATCCCTCTCACATATCTGTTTTTTATAAATATGCCTTTGAAAGAAAATAGAGAAAATTTAGTTAAAAATATATATATATCAGATCTCATTGTTTCAGATAGCAGATCTCCAATTTCTTATTACAAGAATTTTAAATATCAGGATTAAGTCCTGGTTCTTGTTAAAGTTGATAATAAGTTTCCCCATTTTTACTAGTGTTTTGTAAGCTTGTTTTGTCCTTGGTGGCAATTTAGGTACAATTGCCCCTCTTCAGACTTTAGTTGCTCACGTCTTCCCTCCAAGGTCAGCTGGGACCAGCCGCCCCGGGGCTGGCAGCAGGCCCGTCTGCTCTGATTGTCACTTTGCCAAACTCAGTGCGTCCCTTTGGGCAGCACCCCGTGGTCGGCAGGCCAGCGGGCCCAGGTCATGTGTGAGTGCTGCAGCCTCCGGGGCTCAGCTTCCTTATCTCCCACACAAATGCACCTTAAATGGCCCCCCGGGTCCCGTCCAGACGCAGATCCGGATGGCGGTAGACTGCGGAGGTCGTCTGCGGAGGAAGACTCCCACTGTGTCTCTAATGAGGTTGCGTCCCTGGTGTTCCGTGGCTTCGTAATTGCTAGTGTACAAAGTAGTTCTAGTTGATACGGAGACTTCTTTGTGAAATTTTAAGAATCAGAAATGCATGTACTAACTATAAAGATCCCATTATTCACCAGGCAAATAACTCCCAGGCTGTGTTGGGAAAAGGAACTTACCCTGTTAAACACGCCCTCACATACTTCCCAAGTCACATGTGTGTATGTGCACCAGTACATGCTACTCTTATTTTTTTCCCTCATTTCAAGTGCTCTGTACCTGCTAAAACAACGTCATTGGTTTCCCCATTAAGATGAGTTCTTTGAATGTAATCACACCTGGTGGGGACGTTTACCCTCTTGAACACTCATGAAGGGCCTTGTGTCCCCTGCGCAGAGTCTCGCCAAGCTGCAGGAGCGGTTCCACCTGGGTCAGAGCATGGGCCGATCGGAGCCAGACTTGAGGTCCAGCCCTGGGGACTCTCACTTGTCTCTCTCCAGACAGACCCTGGATGCCGGCTCGCAAACCAGCATTTCCGGAGACGTAAGTGATGTGTGGAAGGGCTGGCCCAGCACTCCCTCCGGCGGGTCTTGGTTACGGGACAGACGCGTGCTCTCCTGTCTGGGAGGCCACCAGCAGATTTGCCATAAGTTCCCAGTAATCTTCATGTTCTCTTACGCCCCTTTGAATTATGTGCTTTGAAAGTAAAACAGTTAGAGATCAACAGCAGGGTCTACCATGTGCAGAAGTTAACTTTTGAAGTTATTTTGTTCATATTTTATGCAGTTGAAAGCCAAATGATGGAAATTTTGCCTCACAGTGACAAGGAAATTGGTTCCAGTTCGTAAATTTTATTCACCTGTACACCCCTTGTAAGCTCTTGGATACCAGAAACATATTTTGAATTTAATGCATGGAGAAAATGATGTTAACGTCTTTGAGAGAGAGACAAGCTCTAATTAAAAAGCAGTGTCTTGCCCCTACTGAGGCTATCAAGTCAGGGCCTTTTCCAACTGGTGTTCTCAGTTTCAGAACCGTGGTCCTTGGCTTTTCAATTACTGGTTCCTCCCAGAAACAAAAGCAGTTTACCTTTGTTCATTAGCAGAGTTAATTGGCTTTTTCCCTTTTGTTTTTTACCAGATCGGAGTGAGAAGTAGATCAAATTTAGCTGAAAAGGTCAGGCTGAGTCTACAGTACGAAGAAGCCAAAAGAAGGTAACCAGGGGGCGGCGGTGCGGGCCAGTGGTCAGTGGGCTCCACCACAGTGGCCGGTCTGCAGCTCATCTCTGGTCCAGTAGCGACACCTGCTGGCGCTCCCCACACGCTCTTGCTGCAGTTGTCCTGTGAGACTGTAGGGCTGCAGTCCCCTCTCTGCTCACTGTCCCTTCCTCCCCACTCCCTGCAAAGCTGAAAAACGTGGAGAGCTCATGACAGGCATGGGGATGAGACTGTCCCCTTCTCTTCCGGAAGAAAGAAGCCTTGAGCTGGTACAGTCCTTACAGCTGGAGGTGCGAACATAGAAATGATGCGGGGCTCCAGAGCAGTGCACCAATTCTGGGGTCCGTTGCTTTCAGCTTGTTCCTTTGTTTAAAGGGAACACTCTGGCCAATGTCCTTGAAGAGCCATAGGCGCCTGGTCCAGTGACTCACTTCCCGGGAGAAGGAAGAGAGATTCTTATTTCTCTGCCTTCCCCTCTGATCCCCTAGCCCAGCCCATGCTGCCTTTTTCTTACTCTGTGTGGGTACACTGACAGTGAAGGCCAGAGACTTCACTGTCCCTGTCTGGTCGGCTTCAGACCGCGGCTACACCTTGCTTATTTGGTGGGAGAGAATTATGCTAATACACTTGATACTATTATTTTCCTCTTACGATGCTGAGAATCGTAAGATTGGTAAATTATTAGGAAGATTGGCGTGGGGGTGTCAGCTGCATTGTCACCCTGCAGGGGACACAGACACGGAGCTCGTTTCTTGTCCTCAGTGCAGAAAGCTCAGCTGAGGACCTGCTAGCGAGTCCTGGCTTCCTGCCGCCAGGAAGACTGTCAGATGGATGCTGAAGTTCATCCGTTGTTGCTGGTGATGAGGATCATTTATAAGTAATTAGCCAGAGTTCTTCAAGGTTATCTGGCTTTAACAGAGTAATTATTTGATCTGCCTAAATACAATATTTGTCTCTGGGTAGCCTCTGTTACTAATATGGCCTGATTCTTCGATTTGCTGAGAAAATCCTAAGCTCTGTTCCACAAATTATTAACCACTTGCGCTCAAGCAAGTCACTCGTCTCTATCAACATTCTGCCTGACGATTTTCAATGCCTAGAAAATTTTTCAGGTCGGTCGTACTTCTCTTGCACTTCCTCGTCTGCTTCTTAGCGGCCCGGCGGAGGGCTGAGGACGGCCCGGCGGGCAGGTGGCCCCGGCGGGCAGGTGGCCCCGTGAGATGGGAGCCTCCAAGGGAGGCTGTTGGCGGCCCCATCCTGATGGAGAGCGTGCCCGCCCTTCTGCAGTTAGAGCCCCTGGGGCCTGCTGTGGACGGAGCCCAGGGCCGCGCCCGGCTTTCTGAAGGAGAATGCCCGTAACTAGGCATTCCCTGAGAGAGCCAGCTGCATGCCCTGGGTTCTCCAGGGCGTGACTCGACCTCCCTTGGGTCAGCCCGAGCTCTCGCTTTCCTCTGGGTTCTACCAGATCCTTCCCCCCAGAGCTTACACAGCGCTTCTCCTAGGTGTGCCCCCCAATCTCCCCTTCTGTTCCCCAGATGTGATGCACCTTTCCTAGCAAAACCCAAGCCCTACCTGGTGTTCAGTCACACGAGTCACAGGGGCCTCTCCAGCCTTCGGTGCATTGTTGCTTAACTCTGTCCCATCAAAACTTGAGAGGCTCGAAATAAAATCGGGGTTTTATTTCGAAGTTCCTGGCGGTGCTGACGAGCAGGAAATCTTGAGAGTCTATGCCCATGTTGAAATGAAAGTGCTTTTTCCTCCATTCTGAGGAAGTACAGAGGCAGGCTGTGTTGCTCCAAAACCTGTCTTCTCCAGCTTTCGTTGTCTGTGCTCAATGAGGCTAATAACACCATGTTATTTAGCATTGTGATGATTGACTTTCCGGTACTTTAAGACAGTTGTTTATGGTTTTGTGGTTACAGCTGAAGAATAACTGATGTTGCATCCATCATAAATGCAGGCGGCGAATGGAAACCAGGGGTACGTTACACGCAAAAAGCCAACTTAAGGAGGCAACTTTATTTTTTCACTAACCTGAGACACTTAGGGCACGAGAATGGCAACTGCTTCCATCTCTGGCCTGATAACGTTTTTTGTTCACCTTTTCTCTTCCCTTCTACAACTTCTTCCATCGAAAGGAAGACACAGAACTCTCACCTTCTATCTGTTTTTTCATATTCTGATGTGTTCTGTAACAACAGCAAAAGTAACATTTTTGTAGGAATAGGCCTTCCTTGTGCCGACATCAGAAGTGTTCACAGTTTATCTTCACCTTGTGCTCACGGTCCAAACAGCCACATGGCACTGACCTTGTCAACAACCTGGATTGACAAGGCAAATACAGGTGGTCAGCACGTTCTTGGGGAGCCGGGAGTGGATGGGACCATTGAGTAGGAAGCTCCAGACAGAGAGGAATACAGGGTCAGGCAAAATCATGAAACTGGTCCAGTTTCCCTTTGCTGGTTGTTCATCCCCCCACCCCATCCCTGTCCCCGCACTTCAGCACCTGTTGTCACCCCAGCGGTGCCTGCACTGCAGGGGACCCACCAGGTGCCATCAGCCTCCTGTGTAGCCAAACTCCAGCCACAGAAGAAAGCCAGAGTCAAATGCAGTGATGCCTCGGTGTCTGCTCAACACGTGGCATAGACGTCTGTCGACACCTCGGGAGGGAAGAGAATTTGCAGGGTGCAGCTTAGGGAGACCACGGGCAGAGGAAGCCAAGCCTTGCCCTCCCCCCGACCCCACCCGTTCCGGGCCACGGCGAAGCCTTGATGGATGGCCATTTTCATCCCAGTCGGCCAACCCACTGCTCTCTCCCTCCCCCTTTCCTTCCCTCACTGGCTCATGTTCCAGAGACAGGCCATTTCACTAGGGGGCAGTGTCCTTTCTTACATGGACGAAATCTAGAGCCGTGGCCTTGCAGGCATCCTCAGCACAGCGTGGCTAATGGAAGCCTGCTGGTGCTCCTCGTGCACCGGCACCTGCCCGGCCATCACACGGCAGCGCTGCCCTGCCCAGGGTTCCCGGGACGTCTGCCCCGAAGCTCTGTGTGCTTCGACCTTCACCCTTTTTCCCGATAAGGGAGTGTGCTCACTGCTTTTTTTAAGTGGGGAAATAACGCAGGTGACAACTAAGTACAGCATCAGGTCCAGAGACTGAGACGCAGGCGGATGCCCCTCCTGCCTTTTAGACCAGGTGGTCACGGCCTCCTCGGCTGAAGTTCACGGGCGAGATGGAGCGTGTCAGCCCTGACCACAGCCCGGCTTGCGGTGTCCTTTCTCGGGGGCCCTGCACATGCGCACACCTGTTTCGTCTCTTTATCACAGCATGGCCAACTTAAAGATCGAGTTGTCGAAACTGGACAGCGAAGCCTGGCCCGGGGCGCTGGACGTGGAGAAGGAGAAGCTGATGCTGATTCACGAGAAGGAAGAACTTCTGAAAGAGCTGCAGTTCGTCACGCCGCAGAAACGCACTCGGGACGAGCTGGAGCGCCTGGAGGCCGACCGGCAGCGGCTGGAGGAGGAGCTGCTGTCCGTGCGGGGCACCCCCAGCCGGGCTCTGGCCGAGAGGTGGGTGTCCTGCCCCGGGGCCGGGCGCAGGGAACCTGGGTGGGTGGCAGCAGCACCTGTGTGCGGTCCCCTGGTTGCTGGCAGTCCCAGGCGCCTCTGCTTTCAGGGGACTGAGAACCAGCTCAGAAGGACTTCCTCTCTGCAGAGCAAGAAAGCATGCTGTCCTCCTGCCTCCCCCCGCACCCCCCCATGTCCCTCAGCTCCGAGTGTCTGCTAGGAACGAGAAAATGCTGTGACTGACCCCAAAGAAGGAATGTTGATGTCGGCCCAGGAATGCCAAAAACAATAGCCACAAACTATGATAAGAAAGATTATCTGGCCTGTTAGAGCGTCTGAAGCTTTCTGGTCTGGGTTTTATTACTCATGAGAACACAAACGTTCATTGCTTTTCATTTCAGGAGGAAAAGACAGCCTGCTCCTTTTAACATCCTAACAGGTCACAAAGTGTTCACTTGGATTTTGTTTGTCAGTTGAAACCCTTCTCTGAAGTAGGTGAAACGTAAAAGGAAAACCCTTGAAGTGATTCTCTGATCTCTGTGGGAATGGGTCAGTTGACCATTTCTTCTTAAAAATCCAGCTTTGTAATCAGATCGGCTGGGCTGTTAAGCTGCAGACCCCCTCCAGATGCAGGCTGGACAGGCGCACGTCTGCGCAGGGGCCCGGGGTCCAGGCCTAGATGGCCCATCCGGTCGGACACCTGTGTCAGCCGAGGGCCACGTGGCCCTTGGGCACTGGCGCACACCCCCAGGCAGCGGCCGGTGAGGGGCCGCACCCGGTCCGGAATGAGAAGAAAGAAACCCACATCCGAGTCATTCCAGATGACCCGGAAGTAGCTTCAAAATGCCCAGCCCTAATCCAGTTGCTTTATTTCTTTTAACGTCTTTTCTTCTAATTCCTTGTGATCTATTAATGTTTAAGGACCTGTGTCTACACAACACCAAATATTTGGAAAGGATGGTGGGGAGGATGGTGGAGTGAGAAAACTCTGGACGTTCCAGGTTAGGTGGTAACCTTGGACTTGCCTTCCCTGCGTTGAACTGTTTGGGGAGAACTGACTTTTGTCGGTGAAAATGTGGGTCAAGTTCATGCATGGCTACAACACCACAGCCTTAGAGAGCACGAGGTAGCACAAGGGGAGGCCTGGACAGGTGACATTCCTGTCCTCTCTTTGGTCATTCTCACCATCCTCGCCTGCCCCTTCTCTTTTCCCCCTCCCGCCCTGATGTCCAGTGGAGCTGACTAAAGGCCCAGCCTAAGGTAGACGTGAGCAAGGCTGGCCAGGTAAGGATCCACCTGACAAAGACCAGAGGAACAAAACCTGAGGGCGAGGCAGGATTCAAGTGTTTCCTGAACTGCCTTGACGTTGTGGGTGTACAGGTGTGTATAGCTTGATTTGCTAGGAGAGAAGTTTGATAACCCTCAGTTAATAGGAAGGGGAGTGGGTAGCTTTGTGTGGCCCAAGTGTAAAACTGCAGTGGTATGTTGTGGTGTGTAGCACTCACTAAATGTCACACAATCATACGTGTCTGAAGCCCTGGTCCATCTCAGCGGCTCTGCTCAGTCGAATGTGGGTCTGGGGAGGGTCCCAGGGGGAGAGAAAAACCAGGTATTTGTTTATTTGCTGTGGTCAGCTCTTCAGACCACGAGGGCTGGAGCTTCAGAAATGACAGCTGAAGTGCCATTAAAAATATGCTTTGTTCCTAAGTGCTTTGCCATTGGCTTTGAAACTCCTGTTTGCACATCCGTCACAGCTGCGAAAAGCCCAGCACGAACGCTCAGGCCCTGTGTGTGGCCTGGGCCTGCCACCCAGTCCCTTGGTGTCGCTACTCCCGGCCCAGGGGGCGGAGCCCACCACCTGGTGTTGGTGGTGAAGATGGGCAGGAGAAAGCTGCTCACGGCTCAGGGTCTTCTGCAAAGAGAATTTGCTCTCCAGTGAAGAGAAGTCACGCAGTGGCGGACTTTTTACACGTCTTTCGTACACTTTTTACACAGTTCCTGAGATGCCTTAGACTCTGTGCTTTTCTGTCACACTGCTCCCGACAGTCTCGCAAATCTGAGAGGTTCTCTCTGACGTCTTGCCGAGATGTCTCCATTGTTTCTTAATTTCTGTCTTGCACTGCATAAGGACGTTTTACTCAGCAGGGGACCACATATTACAGCGGTGGCTCCCCCAAATGATAATGGAACTGGAAAACCCCTCTCGCATCATGATGTCAGCCCTGGTGAGGTTCTAGCACGGCGCCTTGCTCATGCGCTCATGGTGATGTGGGCACGCGCAGACCTACTGCGCTGCGCCAGTCGGATGCGAGCACAGCACACACAGACTCATCCTCACGATGATGACAGACGACTGCGTGGCTGCTTTATGTAGTCTCCATACTGTGCTTTTTATCGTTCTATTAGAGTGTACTCTAGAAAGAGCACTTTCAAGAAGTTTGCTCAGAGCCACCATTTTTCAGAGCACTTCCAGAAAGAGCACTTTAAGAAACGGGACCATGTCACATTAGCAGCAGCTGCTCACGGCCCAGGTTTACCGTGTCCCTGGATGGCTGCGTTTTCTCTTGCCCTCGACTGGATGGTGTGTTGTTCTGGGTGGTGACCGCAGTACAGGTGTGTGTCCCAGGAGCCCCGGGTCGCCCGATGCAGCCGGGGTGTGTGGCGGGCTGTACCGTCCAGGTGTGTGTGAGTGCACTCAGTAGTGTTTGCACAACCGGGAAGCATAGCACACTTCTCAGAACACACCCGCCCTCTTTGTCAAGTGGCATGTGACTGGCTGTGTCAAGGTTTCTGCTGCAGAGGAAAATGTTACAGCAAGTGTGGGGGGGTCTCAGTGTCATTTATGTTTTAATGGAAAACATGACCTTTACTTGTCCCTATGTGGAAAGTTCTGGGCGGTCTGCATCAGGAGGGGCTAGCAGGTGCTCCCGGCTCTTCAGGCAGCCTGGGTGGAAGTGGGAAGAAGGGCCGACGCCCGCCTTCTGGGGGCTTGTCACCTGACGGGGGGACATGCCGACACTAACCAGAACACCAGGCCTGGAGGTTCACAGGAGCCATGAAGAGGCCTGAGGCCCAGTGCCCAGCACCCAGGTGATGGCCCAGGGCCGGGGGAGGGGACCAGCGCTGGTGACCGGGACGGGATTTTAAATTTCAGCGTGAAACACACCGATGCCGTAACGAAGCCTCCCTAACGTGTTGGAGAAGCCTTCATTAGTTTGTACAATATTTAGTTTTAAAACTGAACTCGAGAGTGCTTGCTTCTGTTTCAGAAGACATGGATTTTAGTCGATTTTTAGGCTTTCTCCGGATCTTTATTCATTTCATTTATTTTGTATTCATATTTTTCCTTGTTGGGTTTTTATTTATGTTTAAGAGATTTTAAAAAAACATGGGCTGTTCTCCTTTTCCAAATACACCTTTGAAAGCTGTGAATTAAGAATGTATCACCCTTTGAAGTACTAAACAAAATGACCAGAGTTACTTTTTTTGTGTTAACATGTAGTGGCTTTGTATTGGTGGCACATCAAAGGATAGACACCCATAAATGAGACACGGGCATGTCTTCTTACTGCCTGAAATACAAATAACATTTCAAAGAAGCTGGAAATTAGGGAAATGATCGTCTTCTCCAGAGGAGAGTACCTGATTTTTATGCCACCTTGCAGGGCTTGGCAAGGCTTTGAACAAGGAAGGTGGAGCGGTGGGGGAGGAGTAAGATTTTATTTACTTTTAGAGAGAAGGGGAGAGAGGGAGAAAGAGAGAAACATCAATGTTTCTCTTACACCCCCTACTGGGGACCTGGTCCACAACCCAGACTTGTGTCCTGACCGGGAATCAAACCAGCGACCCTTTAGTTTGCAGGCTGGCACTCAATCCACTGAGCCACCCCAGCCAGGGCAGGTGTGAAGTCTGCAGAGCCTTCCTGCACTCCCTCCATTGGATCCCTTCAGCAGCTTCCGCAGGCAGACGCCATGGGACCGTAACCCCCGTTTTACAGACGGGAAAGCTGAGGCCTAGACTCAGTGACTTGCTAAGGGTGCCCAAGGAGCAAAGCCAGCCCCAGCCTGGAACCCGAGGCTCTCTGGGCCACTCCGAACAGGCTCATTTCCATGCTGTCTCAGACCCTGAGAAGACACAAATGGCCCTCACGCAGGCTTCTTGTCGCATAAACCCCTCGGTGCTTAATGCACTTACAAATGACTTATTCGAGTCCCAGTCCCATAACGCTCCGAGTGTCACAAAACCCCAGACACGAGTGCAGTTGAATTCAAGTGGCAGAAATGTGGTGAGCACCCGGCACAGGGGTGAGGCGGCCGTACTTCGGACAGGAGGGGCAGTCCTGTCTATGTCCGTCTCTTACACAGTTCCGACTAATGCATTTCTTAACCCCTAAAATTCTCATCAAATTAAGACAGGGCGTTTTATCAGTACATATTAATTTTGGCACGATCTGTACCAAATTCAGTACCTGGGATGATCTCTCATAATTCTCTGTTACTCCTGTTACATTGTTTTAGTGACGTGAGTCCCTTCACAGGCCTGTAAGGTTCTGTGATTTTGGTTAGTTTCTCGTTTCCCTCCTCACTCTCTTTCTATAATTCTTAAGACCAGGAGAGTATTTGTTCACCCATTTAAGAAAACTTTAGAGGGACTGAGCACAAAGGAGAAAGGACTCCTGGACGTGGACAACAGTGTGGTGATCACGGGGTTAAATGGTGATGGGAAAAATACAATAAAAAAATTTAAAGAAATTTTTAGAAAACCAAATTGAACACATTCTCAGTTACCGTGAGACCTGGCCTAGGCCCCCTCCTTCATCAGGTGCAGCTGCGGGCACCTCTGCCCACCTGCTTCTTGCCGGCCTCTGCTTTCTCTGCCGGGGTCACCGGCCTCCCCTCTATGGCACAGCACATCTGCGTAGCAGGAATCTTTCCTTTTTCCTCCAGTTTTTGTGCTTTGGCATAATCATTTGAAAATATAAATTCGTTCCTGTGTTTTTCCCTAGATTGAAGTTGGAAGAGCGGAGGAAAGAGCTGTTACAGAAACTCGAAGAAACCACCAGGTTAACTACGTACCTGCATTCACAGCTGAAAAGGTAGGTCTGTCTAGTGCTGGAGGGAGGCTTGCTCCCAGCCGCACTCGGGCGTGTTTTCATTCGCCTTTGAATACCCTTCTCCTTATGTTCAACCATTTAAAGGAAAAGAGCACCGTTAGACCAGTGCAATTAAAACTTGAATCACCAGAATTAAAGTTGCACAGATTTTTTCCCCATGAATGCCAAGGTCATATTTGGGAAACATTTGAAATATGTTGTGGGAAGGAGGCGTCTTTTAGCTTCAGTACACACTTAGGGAAATGACACATTTTCTCCCCATCAGCCCTTTTACAAAGGGAGGGCGGGGGATTCGTCTGGAAACATACTCACTAGGTAAGTGCGCAGAGAAGAGGGAAGGTGGGCAGGCCCAGGGGCCTCTGTGTTACCTCTTCGTCTTCAGAAGCTGCTTTTGTTTCTCTCACAAACAAGAAGTTTCATTTGTTAAGCAGAGTTACTGCACTAGTACCGTGTACTATTTACCTCTTTCTATTATAAATTTTTTCAAGGATGTCATTTATTTATTTTTAGAGAGAGGAAAGGAAGGAGAAATAGAGGAAGAGAAACATCCGTGTGTGGTTGCCTCCTCTGTGCCCCCTACTGGGGACCTGGCCTGCAACCCAGGCACGTGCCCTGACTGGGAATTGAACTTTCAATCCTTTGGTTCGCAGGCCAGCACTCAATCCACTGAGCCACACCAGCCAGGGATCTATTATAAATTTTAAAATGCATAGCTGCTTCTGAGTATCTCTGCAGGTAGACCTATCAATAGGTATATGATCCCCCCTATTTTTGTAACTTTTGCAAAAAGGAGGGTGGTTTTTAATAAGTGTAAGATTGCTGCTTAAAGAGTGTTTAGAGATGCAGGTGGAAAATGTTCACAAGGAACCTGGAACTATGCGGTGTGATAGCAAGCTCCTCAGCCCGGCCACTGAGGAAGTTCTCTGGCCTTGCTGGGGTCTAAGGGAGCCGGCAGGGGCCGCGCCTGGGCTCTCCGTGGGACTCCAGTGTTCACAGTGCCCCCTGGTCTTCTCGCAGCCTCTCCGCCAGCACCCTGTCCATGTCGTCCGGGAGCAGCCTCGGCTCCCTGGCCTCCAGCCGGGGCTCTCTGAACACCTCCAGCAGGGGCTCGCTCAACTCCCTCAGCTCCAGCGAGCTCTATTACACCGGTCAGGGCGACCAGATAGACGCCGACTATCAGTATAAACTGGACTTCCTTCTGCAAGAAAAGGGCGGTTACATCCCTTCCGGGCCCATCACCACCATCCACGAAAACGAAGTGGTCAAGTCCCCCAGCCAGCCGGGCCAGAGTGGTGCCTGTGGGGCAGCCGCCGCAGCGACAGGCCCCGCCCCCCCGCTGACCGAGGCCCCCAAGTCGGTGACGTCCCTGTCCTCCCGGTCCTCCCTTTCCTCCTTGTCCCCGCCTGGCTCCCCCTTGGTGTTAGAGGGCACGTTTCCCCTGTCTGCTCACGACGTCCCCCTCCATCAGTTCACCACTGACTTCGACGACTGCGACCTGAGCAGCCGCTTTGCAGACTTGGGCCTGGGCGAGAGTCAGGCCCTGCTGGACCCAGACGCGGGAGGCGCGTCCCAGCCTCTCTTGGTGGATAAAGACCTCCACGAATGCGCCCATGAGCCCTTCTATGAAGCAACAGCAGGTAATTGCGAGACTCGCTGTCCCATGTTCCCTCTTCGCTGTTTTAAGGGGAAGATTGGAGGGTGACTTTATCCCTATAAACAAATGGAAAAGGCTGCCCCCTTCTTCCTGCAGCTCTTTTTATTTTGGCTTCATTTAAGGAGGTTTTTCTGATGTATATATTTTATTTGTTTATTTTTGGAGAGAGGGGAAGGGAGAGAGGGAAAGAGATCAGTGTGCCGTTGCCTCTCGTGTGGCCCCTACTGGGGACCTGGCCCACAACCCAGGCATGTGCCCTTGGGTTCTCAGGCCGGCACTCAGTTCACTGAGCCACACCAGCCAGGGCCATTGACGGAGTTTTAAACTGATGTCCCTAGACATTTTTTTTTTATCAAATAAAACTCACCCTCCCTTGGTAATAGTTTCATCACTAAGGATCTGTTCGTCATCTGGACACCCTCTGTGTACGGCGGTGACTGGGAGCATGATTTGTGGGCACACTTCACACTTTCAAACTGTTTCTGGTTTTGAAAGAACAAGGCAAAGAAAAAGGCTTTCTCTTAAAAGCTGGCCCAAGACAGATGAAAGCCAAAGCAATTAGCATACCGGCTAATTAGTACCGGGGTTCAGTGTTTCAGCTGCTCGGGGAATTCTCTATAAATATAGTTTTTGTCTCCGGCCAGACTCTCCCTCATTTGTAGGCAGCTGCTTCCAGCGTGTGGTGTCGCCTGCCACCTTCTGGCCACGTTTCTAGTTGCAGCCCAAGGAGGAGCCGCAGACAGGAGTCCGTAACTCCTGTATTTGTGCTCAGAGACAAAAACAGGGAGAATTTCATGTTTTTGAAATCCTTTTCCTTGGTGAAGCAGAAGCTCTTATACGTTAGGCGTGGCTGTAACGAGGACGGGATGGTCCCCCAGCTAGCATGTAGTCACAGCTGCGGTCCGAGGAGGGGGTCTGGGGCAGCGCCCCCCTGAAACGAACAGGAAACCGCAGCCCCAGCGCGGCCGCGGGAGCCGCGTATCGATCCGCTCCCGCCACGTCCCTCCATGCGCGCAGCACGGACAGACCCCTTCGGAAGTATTTTCTTAGTATTTCAAGGAGCATGTTTAATTTGTACTCCAAGTAGTCCTTGATTGGCCAGTCCCGGTGTTTAAACAGGTAGGAGAATCCCTCCTGTTGGTGTAGCTTCAAATCCTGAAGAACTGGACCCACTTACCAGTGGCCTCGGCAGGGGAAGGGGATGTGTGTGGGGTTGGCGTGCCGCTGCCTGACAGGTGCCCGAGCTGCTAGTGACTCGGTACTGGATTAATCAAGCACAGGGAATTTAGGAGCACAGGCGTGGTGCTTACGTGGTGGCCCCCAGAGAGCAAGGCAGAAACCCGCCCCGGGGCCTCCCTCAGCCCAAAGGAGTGGAGTGTGTGTGTGGTGAGTCCCAGCCCTGGAGCCGGCCCGCCGGCATGAGTCCTTCGGCTGCCCCGTTGACCCAGTCTCTGCAGCCTGTTGTTCCTCGTCTGAAAGATGGAGGTGATAGGTACCTTCCTCCTAGAGCCTGGGAGGGTTCTGCCGTAATCTATGCCAAGCTTTGGTGCCTGGGACCCAGCACTCAGTTCGTGGTAATTGTGATAACATTTGGCGATATGGAGTAACACTCCATTCTTACCACAAACCACGGGCATTCAGGAAAGGAGCGAGGAGAAGGCAGGGTGGTTTCTATGCCCGACTTCTGGGCTTTGGGCTCGAAGGGTCTTCCAGTCCTTGAACATGCCGAGGCTGCATTCTCTCCTCACGGGTTCGGAGTGCTCGCTCCTGAGCGCTTCTCAACATTCGGTGCACTTGGAGAGGCCGGTCAGTAAAGCCAGAGGCTGGAGAAGGGGGCAGGTTGGTGAGAACACCACCCAAGGCCTGCCTTTACCCCGGAGTCCTGAAGCCCTGAAGTCTCTGTCCCGCCTCTTCCCCCGGGATCTGCTCCTGTGTCTCTCTGAAGCGCCTCTGCCAGAGACCCGTGTCTCTGAAGCTTCCATGAGACATAGAATTAGCTTTTTTAACATATATATATATATATAACTTGCATATATACATAAGTTTATATAGAGAGATTTTATATGTCAGTTCCATGAAACAAATAATTGTGATGCATTTAAAAAGTTAAAAAGTCACCTTAAAGAAAATACACTGGAGAATTTTGTTTGCCATTAATACTCAGTTTCATGCATGAAAACAACTGAAAGCGTATATTTAACTGTAAAGACTAATTCTCTTCGGGTCAGTTCACCAACACTTGGCCTGTTCAGGGGACCTCTGACCCTGGCTGGGGGGCAGGCGGCTCACAGAGGTGACACAGGTTGTCTGCGCCCCCACCACCACCACCCCCGGGGGCACTAGAGCCTTGTGCAGGTCGAGTCAAGTCCTTTTTCTGTTCCCTCTGCGCTGTGGCACCGGCTCCTGCTGGGTTATGGACGCTGAGCTGCAGTAACTCCGAAGTCCTTCCCCAGTCAGTCTCTGTCATGGTCAAAATCAGTGTCAGGCTGCTGTGGTTATTCGGGGCGGGGGGTAATCAATAAATCACGTCCTCACCTTCCCCCCTCCCACAGGGGGCTGGGCTCAGAGAAGCCACTTCATCATCAAGGAAAAGGCCATCCCGCCTCCAGCGATCAATCCTGTGATCAGTCCTCTAATCCGAAGCCCTAAAACTGAAACATCTGAACCAGATGTGAAGTCAGGGCTCGGAAGGGGGCGAGCTGCCCGCCCGCACTGCGCCCTGCTGGAGGATGAAGGAACTCCACGGCTTGCCGCTCGTTACGGGGGAGCAGGGCTCTCCTCAGTGGGTGCTCCCTGCGCCCCGCAGGGTGCTGGGGTGGGAATGAGAGTTAGAGATCAAAGTCAGGCGGGAGTTGGTGCTCAAGATTCAGTAGCACAAAGGGGTTTTTTAATGGTATTAGCTGGTGAGGAATTCTCTAAGTGAAAGCCTTTTCTCTTTAACTTCTGCAGGAGGCGCAGGCTCTGGCATATGGGGGGAGGGGGAGGGGGGAGTCAGAGGGACCCTTCCGGCCGTGGAGGAGCTCCACGCTCTCAGGCGTAGAAATACTGGCTACTCCAGGATGGTGGTAGTTCTCCCCGCTGCGTGGATGGGACTGCGGGAAATAGCTAAGGAACAGAGGCTCGGGACCAATGGGAACGCAGCTACTTCACCCCTTCCCTTACAATATTTCAGGTCAGGACAAAGAAAAACCACATTCTTCCTCTGATAATGACCAAGATCACTGGCGTGCGGGACCCTCATTAGTCACAGAGCCTCGAATCCCCCACCTCTCTTGGCGTGATCAGTGACAACCATGCGTCTCGGATGGGCATTTTATTTTGGGTCTCTGAGAACCGAACTGCATGCGTATTTTTTGTTTAATTTGTCCCAACAAGAAGTCCCCCTGACCACCGCCCCCTTCCCTCCCCAGAGGTGGAAAAGTCATTGCCCAAACGGAGGGCGGCCCACTTGCTCGGGGAGAAGACGGCCTGTGTGTCGGCCGCCGTGTCCGACGAGTCCGTGGCTGGAGACAGTGGGGTCTACGAGGCCTTCGTGAAACAGTAAGGGTCCCTTCAGCAGGGGGGCTCTCAGTCGCCCCCCATCTCCTGCTATCGTGCGTGGGGGAGTGGGCTGGCTTGTTCGGCTGCCACTGTCGGCTCCTCTCGGGGTCAGAGCTGTGTGCCTGACAGTTCTGTGTGCCCAGAACGTGCCATGGGCCAGGGAAACCACAAACCGTACTTGGACGCCTCACCTTCTTTGAGACTTAAAACTTGACGGAGTGGTTGGGCACAGCCAGCTCCTGGAGCATGCTTCAGAAGCCCCAGGGAGGCCCAGGGAAGTCGGGCATCAGAAAGTGTTCCCCCAAAGGGTCAGGGACAGACTCCTCTTGACAAGCTGAAGAAAGGCGTCGGGGTGAGCTCTCACTGTGCCAGCCCCCCGGGGGTGGTGTGGGAGCCCTGGTAGTTCAGGTTGGCATTCGCACTGACTAAGAGGCAGGCAGTAACCAGACCCTGGGGGCCCCATCCATCCCTGTTCTCCTCCCACTGTTTCCCCGTTGCCAGGCCGAGTGAGGTCGAAGAAGTTCCTTACGGGGAGGAGGATGCTGCGGTCGTGGAGGCAGCCCAGGTGCAGGTCGGACTCAGGTACGGGACTGGGCACAGGGGCGGGGCACTTCTAGACTCCCACGCAGCGACGGCTGGCCCGTGCTCTTTGCTCATCTCCTCGGCTTCTCTTTTGACAGATATGACGCCAAAAGGTCAAGTTTCATGGTGATTATAGCGCAACTCCGGAATCTCCATGCCTTCCTGATACCTCATACTGCAAAAGTGTAAGTAAAATCGGTGACCATCAAATCGAGGAACTTAAAGTTGTCCACATATGATCGTTCTACCTTGTAATCAACGGTCCACCCCCTGAAGTCACAGCAAGTGCAGAGCGGGGCCAGCCACGCTGCACCCACAGCAGATAAAGATGGAGAGGAAGGAGAATGTGCAAAAAGCACCCGGGGTTTTGATTGTTTTTTCAACCAATTTATTATTAAGAACAGGAACCAAGACTTTTTAATCTCCCTTTTCAACAGAAATTGTGTGTTATGCTGGGGTGGGGCATGAATTCTTGAAATACAGTTAAAACTTTTGTTATTGCTGAGTTGTGGCTACTCACAACTTGGCTTGGAGGAATTATCGGAGAAGAGCCGCCAGATCTAAGGAACAAAGACCTGGATGGAGATTACTCAGTAGGCAATAGATCAATTGCCGTGTATTGGTGATGACCAAAGCTGGCGGGGAGCAGGTTTTGGGAGAGGAGAGGGGTCAGAGGACCTCCTGAAATCAAGCTCTGAGGGTCCATGTTATCAGTGAGACCAGGAAGGAAGGAAGGCACGTGGGGGAGCGGCTGGATCACCCGCGAGAGCCTGCTTCTGGGGCTGATCTGGGACTATCAGTCAGTAGTGTCCAGGGAAGACTGGCCTGGGGAAGGGATCCCTGACCGCCCCCACCAGCAAATACGCTGGAATACGGAGCATGCCATTGGCTGACCTTTAATTTTAGTAGGGCTCCTGGGGTCACATTTATGAACAGTGAGAGTCAACCCACAAGTTCATAAGAAATCCGTAGAACTCTTCAAGAATGCGTCCTTTCTTTAGACACACAGTGGAAAGGTGGGTGTCCTCAAGTGTTCTGCCTCCACCAAACCAACGACAGTCACTCTCACTTACCTCGGGGGGTGACACACAGGTGCCCTCTGGAGGCCTGGTGACAGCCAGCATTGGTCAGGACCAGTAGCAGTCCTCGGTGGTGAGGACAGTGGGTGCTTGTGCCCCGGCCAGTGTGCAGGGGCACTCATGTAGGGTCCGGCCCTCCCCACGACACATGGCAACATGACCTGAAGCTCACACGGGAAAGTCCCGGCCTCCACTACGACGCTGCCGAAGGTGACGACTCGGATGACCCGGCCTTAACAGAGTTCTTCGTTCCTGGACCAGAAGTGTGTTTGCTTCGGCAGACACCTCCTGCTGGTGGGCGGCAGCCCTGAGTTTCTGCAGGTGGCTCCCGACTCCAGCTGGGAGAGGGGCCCCCGCAGCAGGAGGAGGAGAGCACCTGCCTCCTGTCTCCTGTGCCCCTCGCTCTGAACCATGCAAACCTCACTGGTTTGCACAGGAACCATTCTGGGATCGCATAAGTGGTTACTGCTGGGCCAAACCGAAGTTGGGGAAATAGAACATCCCTTCCCTCCGCCCCAGCTCCCTCATGCTGCTTCTCCACGAAGGCAGAGAAAAGAGATTCCTGCCGATCACCAGCCTGCACAGCAGTGGCCCCAGAGCCCCTGGGAGCTTAGTGCTGAATCTCTATAATCAGCGTGTACGTGAATGCAGAGATACAGGGACGTCCTCAGTCTGCCTGTGCGTGTACGGTTCTCACCATTGGAGAGCGGCCTCTCTCAGCGAACTCCACGAGCCCAGCCGTGGGGCAGGCAGGGGATGTCGTGGGTTCTCCCACCAGGATTTAAAGGAAGATACTTTGTGCTGTTCCCAGAACTGTGAGCCCTCGTGTAACGTGTGCTCGGAAAAATTCACTTTAAAGTTAGTATTAGACATTATTTTTCTCTCTCACCCTTCTGAACTTTACAAAACACAAGACTTAAAACTGTCGATGCCCCTGAGGTGCTGGACAGTGACATTTCGTTGAATTTCATCTGCCTTAAACTTTTGTCACAGTGTGCTGCTCGGCCCTTCTTTCTCTCTAGGAGGACCACGTGTTCCCCTCCTGGGACACGCTCGTCTGCATCTCGTTAAACATACAGGAGGACTGTCCTTGTGACAGAGTGACCAGTGTCTACTTAGTGTGTCCCCACCTTCCCTGGCTCAGAAATCACTTCTTTTGGAGTTGGCTGTACACAGGCAGGTGGGACACTCCGTAGACCCTCCACTTTCCTGGCACCGCCTGTGCTGTGGCCCGTGGGGCATGGCGGGCCGGGGCGCGGGCAGGGTAGCGCAGAGCCTCTGTGTCGCTGAGCCCAAGCAGGGGCAGGCCCATCATGGCAGCCAAGCTGGACGCCGATGCGGAACCCCACGCTGCCCCGTGTTCCTCTCTCGGGCGGGTAACTCGCAGTGACCCTGCGAGTCTCACCCCTGTGGGGTGACCGAAGAGCCTCTGAAGCCCCCTTCTCTCTCCCTCACTCTCTGCAGATACTTCAGGGTCGCCCTGCTCCCCTCCTCAGCGGACGTCAGCTGTCTGTTCCGGACAAAAGCCCACCCGGCCACCGAGTCCCTGTCGTTCGGTGATGTGTTCCGAGTGGCCATCTCCCAAACGTCCCTGCAACAGAGGACCCTGCGGGTGGACCTCTGCCGCGTCAGCGCCCACCGGAGGGAAGAGTGCCTGGTAGGGTCTCCCGATGCCCGTCACCTGGGGACCGTCACCACTGCACGGCGTCAGGATGTTTTCGGGGTGCTGTCCACCAGCCCTGAGGCCCCCCGTAGGCCCGCCCAGTGCCTCAGACACACCCGGGGCGTTTTCGGTTGTCCTCTGAAAGAGTGACTTCCGGTTTGCGTTCTTATTCCAGACCTTCCACATCTGCTCATGCATTGTAATTTTCTGTCAAATCTACTGCCCACCTCTACCCTTTGGCCACAGAGCACTCGGACCTCTGTTCTGACTGTCACCACGGAGTAGGGTTCTTATTCTCAATCGAGTCTTGTGCTGCGTGCTTTGTATACATTATCTCAGTCCTTGTCACTGTCTTATGAAAAGGGTATGAGCACCCCGGTTTTCAGATGCAGAACTGCTTAGAGGGTTCATGTGCTCACACAGCACATGTGTGGGCACATGCGTTTGGCTCCAGACTCCAAAGAGACCTCCCACATGTAACTTACCGTCACAGGTTTAAACCAGACACAGAGTGAAGGCGTGTAGTTCTTTCTTCGGCTTGTTCTCCCGGCCATGGGAGCAGAGCTTCTAGGAAGACATACGTGTTTCTGTTTAGGGTAAAATGGTATTTAAATGCTGAAGCGGAAGACTTCGTACGGCTAATAGTGAGCATAACTCCCCTTGGTGTGTCACAACCAGACGGCCATTACACACCAGTAAAACCGTGCTTAAAAAATGTGCGTAAATGTGCTTCAGATGTGCTTAAAAAATAACAGTGTGGCTCTCTACCTGAACTCTTCTCTGCGGTACAGTGAGAAACTAAAAAATACGTGTTTCACGATGCACAAAGTTTAAAAGATGCCTATCAATGAAAAAGATCTCCTATTAATCCTTCTTCTATATATAAAAACTTTTGGTGTCTCCTGACAATAAAGAACATTAGAAAGAAGCACAGGTAACAGATTCATTTGGCTGTCGGGAAGGCTTTAGTGTAATAATTATCTGTCAGCAGCTTCATAAAGTTGGCAAATATGTTAATTTATAGTCTTATACAATAATACAGTTTTAGATTTTGGCTGATATGTGTGATTTGGTAGAATATAAAAGCTGTTAACCTTTTTTTACATTCTACTTAATGCAAAACAATTTTTTTTCTAATTTTTTACTTAAGAACCACAGTGGAGTTTTTTCTTCATTTAAAAAAAATTTTCAGCCCTGGCTGGTGTAGCTCAGTGGATTGAGCGCGGGCCTGCGAACCAGACAATCGCAATTCGATTCCCAGTCAGGGCACATGCCAGGGTTGCAGGCAGGTTCCCTGCAGGCCAGTTCCCAGCAGGGGACGCACGAAAGGCAACCATACATTGATGTTTCTCTCCCTCTCTCTTTCCCTTCCCCTCTAAAGATAAATAAATAAAAATCTTTAAAAAAAAAAGACCAGACAATCGCGGTTCGATTCCCAGTCAGGGCACATAGCCGGGTTGCAGGCCGGTTCCCTGCAGGCCGGTTCCCAGCAGGGGATGCATTAAAGGCAACCATACATTGATGTTTCTCTCCCTCTCTCCTTCCCTTCCCCTCTAAAGATAAATAAATAAAATCTTTAAAAAAAAAAGTATAGCTAGAATCTGTAAAAAAAAATTTCAATGGATAATGGATTTTTGTCAATAATAATCAGATCACTCATAGCACATTATTATAAGATGTTTATAATTTATACTTAGTTTATAGTAATTTGTTTTTTATTTCTTAACTTTTTATTTAAAAGTAATTTCCCTTGCAAAATGTCTTGTGCTTAGTTATTAGGTTTGGGGAAAATAGTCTCTCACAAAACTACCCCAGAGTTAGTTTTAGATTGGGGTCGCTTCATATTTGGTCACTCCTGAAAGTACAAGACATCTTCAGGCTTTACAAAAAATCCACTGATACTTTATATCATGAGTATTGCATTTTTTTTACCCTAAAATAAGTTTGCCCAATAATCCTAACTATATCAGGAGCAAATATGAATTTAAGCATTTTATTTTCTCTCTTTTTTTTCTTTCACTTCACACAGGCTGGAACCCAGATCAGCCTCGCAGATTTGCCGTTCTCCAGTGAGATCTTCACTCTCTGGTATAACTTGCTTCCTTCCAAGCAAATGCCTTCCAAGAAGAATGAGGAAGAAAATGAGAATTCTGCATTTCAGCCAAACCAGCCGTCAGTGGATCCCATAGACCTGGTGAGTCAGAATCAGAGAAGATGGCCATTACTGCTCAGCAAGGCAGCTCGGGGTGCGTTGTGCGGGGAAACCACAGGGCCTTCATTCACAAGTGCCGTCCTTCCCGTTCTCCGTCCGCAGCCCTCGCTTTTTCCCCAGCTTCCCCCAAAAGAAGGAAAATTCCCAGCTCTGTTTCAAGTAGGGTTTGTAAAAGCATCACTGGTTTCTGCTCACACGTCCTTCCATAAAAATAAGCTGACATGGAGGCTTCGTCATTCTGAGTGACTGTGAAAATCCTTTTAAGGTTATATTTTCATACCTTGTGCTCACTGTCTGCACTTGGAGCTGTTATATTTTGCAAATGTTAATAATTATTAAGCCCAAACAGTGTCTTAGTCTCTATTGTAACACCGATCTCCACAAACATTTTCTTTTAAGAAGTGCACTGTAACCAACAGTCACACTTCACCACGAGGCTGCCCACTGCCAGTCAGGCATCTGTGGGATGTCGTCACTGAGTTCAAGTTTATTTCCCACTGTCTGTGAGGAAAGGCTTTACGAAGCCTAAGTCAGGCAGTTATGGCAACAGTGCTCCACAGGTCGTCTGTGTGTAAGAACCTGTAGTGGACGCTGCGGTCAGTGGGAAAGGGAAGCCAGCGTGTTGGCAGAGCTCACCGACGCAGCCCGGTCTGGGGCAGACGTGGAGTAAGGCTTTAAGAAGGCTTTCATGACACTCCCACTGTGGATGAGTTTTTTAAAGCATTATGCAATGTAATTCGCATGCCATACTGTTCACCCATTTGAAGTGTGCAGTTCACCCACGGGAAGCTCACAGTTCAGTGGTGTGGCATTAATTCACAGCGCTGTGCATCCGTCACCACCATCCAGTGTCAGAAAATCGTCCTCATCACCAAGGGAAGCCCACACCCACCCACCCACCGGCAGCGACCCAGGTTCTCCCTCACCCCGTCCGCCCATGGCAACCACTAGTCTTCCTTCTGTCTCTACGTTTGCTTATCACGGACATTTCATGTAAAGGGGGTGACGCAATGTTCGTTCTTTGTGACTGTCTTCTTCCACTGAGCACAACGTTTGCAAGAAACCTCCATACAGTGACCTGTATCAGCCCCTCCGTCCTTGTTATTCCCAAATGCCTGTTGCAAGGATACACCATCTTGTATGTGTCTGCTCATCCGCTGCTGGGCATTTGGGCTGTTTGTACTTCTTCACTATTATTATAATGCTGCTCTGAACATTTGTATACAGAGTTTATAAGGACATGTGTTTTCATTTCTCTTGGGGACATACCCAGGAGTGGACTTGTTGGATCACGTAGTTCTGTGTTTGACAGTTGCAGGGTCTGCCCAGCTGTTTCCCGAAGAGGCTGCTCCATTTTACATTCTCCCCGGCAATGGATGAGGGGTCCGTTTTCCCCACCCCACGCCCATGTTATCAGTCTGTTCTTCTGATTCTAGCCAAGCCGGTGGGCAGGAAGAGGTTTTGCTGTGGTTTTCATGGACATTTCCCTGGTGCTGAGCATATTTTCACCAGCTTATTCATAATTAGTATATTTTTGTCAGAACTGTCTATTCAGATCCCTCATTTATTTTTAATGGGTTGTCTTCTTATTATGGCATTAAGAGAGTTCCTCATATATTCTTGATATGAGTCTCTTACCCAGTAAATGATTTGCAAATCTGTTCTCTCATTCTATGGGTTATCTTCTCCCTTTCTTGATGGTTTTGTTTGAAGTAGTGTTTTAAATTGTAATAAAAGTCAAATCGTCTATTTTTCTTTTATTTTTTCTTTCTGTTTATGTCATATCTAAGAAGGCTTTGACAAACCTGATATCACAAAGGTTTGCTCCTTTGTTATCTTCTGAGAGTTTTAAAGTTTAGTTTTATATTTAGGTCTCCGATCCATTGGTCTTTTACGTGTAATGTGGGTCCGAGTTCATTCTTTTGTATGTGGGCGGTGTCTGCTGAAAAAAAACAAACTCTTCTTTCCCCTGTTGAATTATCTTGACACCCTTGCTGAAAATCAATGGACCGTAAGTGTGAGCACTTACACTTCTGGAGTCTGAATTCTGCCCCGTTAATCTACCTGTGTATACGTACACCAGTAGCACACTGCTTTGATTACTGTAGCTTAGTAGTTATTTTGAAATCAGAAAGTATGGGTCATCAAGCTTTTTTTTTCAAGGTGGTTTGGGCCATTCAGGTTCCTTTGTGTTTCCACATGAATTTTAGTACCACTTTGTCACTTTCTGCAAAAAAGAGAGAGAGAGAGAGAGACAGCGAGGATTTTGAGAGAGGTTTCACCGAGCCAGTGGGTCACTGTGGGACTTTTGTCATCTTAACAGGGCTAAGCCTTCTGGCCCATGAACACAGTAAACTGTGTCTTTTCATTTTACTTGGATAACTGTTGCAAATAGAACTATATTCTAATTTCATTTTCAGATTATTTATGGCACCCATAATTTTTGTCTAGTTATCTAGTATCCTGCAACCTTGCCGAACTCACTTATTCGTTCTAAGTTTTTTAGTGGATTCCAGGGTTTTCTAGGTATAAGAGTTTATCTTCCTAAAACAGAGTTAGTTTACATCTTCCTTCCCAATTGCTTTTTATTTCTTACTCTCGCCTAGGTGCCTGGGCCAGAGCTCCCAGTGCAATACTGAGAGAAGGGGTGAGAACAGACACCCTGGTCCTGTGCCTGTTCACCTCAGGGGCGCTCTCCATGGTTTCTGCCCTGGGATTCTGTAAATGTCCTTTATCAGATCGAGGGAGGCCGCTTCCTTCCCTAGTTTGTTGATCGTTTCCATCATTACAGGTTATTGGATTTGACAAGAGCTGTTCCGAATTTATTGGAATGATCATGTGTTTTTTTTTTCTGTATTCTATTTCATACAGTTTCTGGATTTTCACATGCTCAGCCCATCTTACATTCCTGGGATACATCCCCACTCACTGGGTCATGGTGTACGATCCTTGTCATATGTTACTAGATTCAGTTTTCTATTTTTCTCTTGAGGACTTTCTGTCTATATCCATAGTTTTCTTGTGACATCTGTGTCTGGTTTTGATGGCAGGGTACTTCTTGCCTCAGGGAATCAATGAGTCAGGACATGCTGCCTCCTCTTCCAGCTTTTGGTGGAGGTTGGGGAGGGTCCGTGCGAATTCTTCAGAGTCTGGTGGAGCTCCCCATGGAGGCCGTCTGAGCCTGGACTTCTCTCTGTGGGGAGCTTTGGTTTACTAGTTCAGTGTCTGTCCCTGCTGTGAGTCTGTTCGGAATTGTTCTGAGCGTGTCCGTGTGGGTAGCTGGTCTGTCCAGGAACTTGCCCATCGCATCTAGGTTATCTAGGTTGTCAGTAGACAGCTGGTCATAGTGTTCCCCTGTAATCCATTCTCTGTCTGTGAAGTGGACGGGGATGTCGCCGCTCTCATTCCCGGTATTAGTAATTTAAGCTTTTGCTCTATTTTTGGGGTCAATTTCACTAACGGTTTATCATATTTTTGATCTTTTCAGAGAATCAACTTTTGTTTTCATTGACTTTTCTCTATTTCTCTGTTGTCTAGTTCATGAATTTCCACTATAGTCTTAATTTTCCTTTCCTTTTGATTGCTTTTTTTTCCTCTCTTTTTTCTGTTTTCTTATTGTAGGAGGTTAAGTTACTGATTCAAAATCTTTCCTCTTTTCTATTATAGGTGCCAGCAGCTATAAATCTGCCTTTGAGTGCTGTGTTAGCGGTCTCTCAAACTTAGTATATAATGTTTTAATTATCATTCACGTCCAAGTGTTTTATAACTTTCCTGGTGGCTTCCTTGACTCATTGGTTATTGATGAAGGTGTTAATTTCCACGTATTTGTTCATTTCTAATTTGTTTTTGTTATTGAATTCTACTTTGATCATAGTATGGTCAGAGGGCATATTTTAAATTACTTCAGTTCTTTTGAATGGACCGAGGCTTGCTTTGCAGACTCGCATTTGGTCTAACCTGGAGGGTGCTCTGTGCGCCCGAGGAGAACGTGAATTCTGCTGTTGTACGGCAGCGTGTCCTACAAGTGCCTCGCAGGGTTCCGGCTGAATGGCACTCCGTCGTCTGCAGGTATCCCAACACTGTCCAGCGTCTGTCAAAGGACACAGGTTATTCACGTCTTGGCTACTGTGAATAATGCTGCAGGGAACATGGGGGTACAGGTATCTTTATACATAAGTGCTTTCCAATGGGGGGGGATGCTCAGAAGATAGATTGTCCATTGTTGATCCTTAACAGGTAGGTAAGGCATCTTTTTTCTTTCACCACTTATAAAAGTTTTTCTTTTTCTTTGATTTTTCATCCTTTTGACTCTGATGTGTTAATGTGATTTATATGTGTGTTTGTTTTAGTGCAATTCTGCATCATTTCACCGGTTTTCTTAAACACATAATTGTAAAACTTTACATTTCTTCTCTAACTGCAGCGTGTGGGTCACATGCGGGTCTGCCTCTTTTGTCTGTTATCTCTCTTGGCTTTCAGCCACAGGGTCCTGTTTTTGATGGAATGCTGGATGTTCTGTGTGAAGAATTAGAGAGGCTCTGGCTGGTAGCTTCCTCCAGAGAGGATGCAGTATTCTTCTGGAAGGCAGATTGCAATATGGGCAGATCACCTGGATCACTTGGGGGACCCGAATTCCAATTTTTCTCTCCCTAGAAATGGTGAGGCAACCGAAATACCTGCTTAGTGCTGTAGCCTCCAACCAGCTAGTTTTTGCTTGTTTCCCAGCATCCTGCTTTGCACATTTGCAGCTTAGGAATGGCAAATGCCCGGATAGGAGCACTGCACCGAAAACTGGGCTCCCTCTGGAGTTCATTCGCTCTAGTCCCTCGCATGCTGACTGCATGGTCACCTTTAAAATTGACACACGTCCCGAAGGGAACAGAGAGGCAGTGACTGTCAGCCCACCCTCTTGCATTTCCCTTCTGCCTGGAGTCTTGGCCATCCAGCCCTGGTTGCCTTTGTGGCTCTTCATTGCTTCAGGACAGCTGGAGTTTTTTGTTTGTTTTTTGCTTTTGGTTTCATTTTAGTTCTTTCATGTTGTCAGCAGGAGAACTGGGTCCGGTACCAGCGTTTTCACAACCAGAAGTGCTCTGATGAGCGTTGACATTATTTTTGGAAGTGTGCACTGTTAATTTCCATGTGTTTTACACACTTCAGGACGCAGTGTCGGCCTTACTTGCGAGAACATCAGCCGAGCTGCTGGCTGTGGAACAAGAATTAGCCCAAGAAGAAGAACCAGGGCCGGGAGAAGAGCAAAGCGGGCCAGATGGAGATTGGTAAGACCTCATGTCCATGTGTGATTGGGAACTCAAAGAAGATGTGTTTAGCTTCTCCTAGGAATCTTTTGGGGAAAACTGTGTGGGCTCAGCTCATGTTCCGGCATCGTGGGAGGGGGGGCAGAGGCAGGGCGCTGCCCCTGGGGGACCACCGTCCTCGATCATTACAGAGTCGAAGCGGGAGATGGCGAGATGGTCGGCACAGTTAGCACATCAGTGGGACTCTTATTCTTCAGTAAATTTTAACACCATTTCTTGACCTTTTTAAACTTTAAACAGTCTATTCTGAAAGGCATGGTAGCTTATTGCAGATTTATAGATAAGTTTAAAAACTGACTCCCTTTTTCTTAAACTACCAGAAGTGCCATTAGGGCTTTGGGAAGTCAGAGCAGATGTCTCTCTGTCTGTTGCCACTTTCAGCTTCTTTTCTATTCTTTCTTTCTTTTTTTTTTCTGTTCTTCTCTCATTATATATACCCCATCCTTAAAAAAAGGGGAAAAAGGCTACTATAGCTTTTGTCTAGATTCACATATGCATAAAGAACAATATCTTTCCTGGTTTGTACTGTTTCCTCTAAAAACAAATTTTAGTGACTACATCTGTTTTTTAAGTATACATGTAAAATTATTTGAATTCATTTTTATATATAGTTGCTTACATTATCATGTTGGATTGAACAACCGCTAATACATGTATGTATGAATGTATATGTGTATACATACACAGCATGCATTTGTGTGTATGTGAGCATATAAAATGTTTTACAATTTAGAAGGACAAGAGATGTCATTAAAAAAAAATCATGGCCCTGGCTGATGTGGCTCAATGGGTTGAGTACCAGCCTGCAAACAAAAGGTCACCAGTTCAATTCCCAGTCAGGGCACATGCCTGGGTTGCCAGGCAGGTCCCAAGTTAGAGGCATGCAAGAGGCAGCCAATTGATGTTTCTCTCCCTCTCCTTCTCCCACCCTTCCCCCCCTCCCTAAAACTAAATAAAATCTTTAAAAAAATAAAGCCCAAATCACGGACATTTGGAAGGCACAGCTTACCACAGTGATATAAAAAGATACAGATATACTTTGCCCTTATGGAAAGCCCTTTGTCGTGAATAAAAATGAGAGCACTGCAGAAAAAAATGAACATGAAAGCAGTTATAAACTTCATCAAGGTGTCTTCAGACAGTAAGCCTTCGTTGTGTATATAAACTGCATTTGGTTTCACACACATTTCAAAAAATACACCTGGTATGTAACATAAAGGCATTCATGACGCGCAGTGTCCATGGCTGGCTCCTCTTCTTCATTTCATGACGGCATTTCATTATGGGTCCACCACAATCACAGGGAAAGCTCGCCTTCCAGTTGTCAGCAGAAGAAATGTCTGCATTCCAAGAACATGGAACTCAGCAAAGCATGAGCTTTTCTGAACCACACCAGTACGCTTGCTTTCCTGTCGGTAGAGTTTAAACAGAATACAAACTGTACTGATGTCCCACTTTTAATGTCCCCAAACCCCTGCCACGGCTTGTCGGGGACAAGATGCTGTGGTGTGGAGAGTCTTGTGCCGTTTCAGTGGAAGAACCCCCTCTCCGCAGGATTCGGCCCCTCCTTGACCAGGAGCCCAGTGATAATGGTATTTTTAAGCCTCGAGTCTTTATTCTGTCTTAGCAGGGAGTCCCTCTGTTCTACCGTATGATTAATTTTACAGGAAATGAGCAACTAATAAATGAACAAGTTATGTCATAGTGAGTGATGATATTTTTAAATGGCTGGGCTAAACTTTATATTCTTTTCAGTATATTTCTATTTTAATCTCTGGAAATTAGGTCAGATGTCAGGAATTGAACTTAACTACAGTGATTCCATTGTAGATCGCTAGAGAGAATTTTATTTTTCATGAGCATTTTGGTAAAGGTCCCAGCCAGAGAAATAGCCTGACTCACTGTGTGCATCTTGTGTGCCTGGCCCTGGTCACGGGTGATGGTGCCCAGGTCACACTGCTCACGGCCACACCACCGTGACTCAAAGTGTGTTTCGATTCATTTCACCACAGGCTGGCAATGCTGAGAGAGGCCGCCGATGAAGTTGGGGCTGAAGAAGGGGCTGAAGGCGCGTGGCCAGAGGGCAGCAGCCGTACAGCGGACGCCAGCTCCTGCCCGAGTGTGCCCGAGACTGGTGAAGATGCAGGCAGGAGAGGAAACAGCTGTGCTAACGACCCCGGGGGTCAGCCCCTGCCTGGAGGGCCGGCCCTGGTGAGTAGCTGCAGCCACGCTCTGCTAAGGCAGCGCTCCCCTCGATCAAGTCCATCTCAGCAGGTGTGATTCCAGGCTAAGACTTTGTGCGGAAGCTGATCAGGATAGGCGTTTGTGAGAGCAGACTGCAAGAGACATAGCAAGTGCTCTGAAATGTTTAAATGGGCCCGAAATGCTCATTCTCCGCCTAACTTTCACATAAGAAGATAAATAGCGCTATTTAGATCTTGGTAAATGTTCTCTATTTATTCAAAGCCTTTTCAGGATTTCCTGGATAACACCAGGATGACTACTTAATTGTATCAGGTTTCATGCATGTCGTAAGTTTATTTCAGTTTCAGACATGCAGCGCCGCATTTAAAGTCCATCCCCGTTAGAGTGCGTTCTGATGGAAATCTCTTCCGGAAGGTGGCGGAAGCCTCAGTGTGGGCACAGGTGCCAGCCGCACTGCTAAGCACATGGACACTGGCATGGGGATTCTTTTCAAGTTAGGGTGACGGCAAATTTAGGATGTTGTGGCCAGTTTAGACAATCTCAATTCTTTATTCCTGAGAAAAATAATACCACATGCACCCTGACCGAAGACTTCACATAGACGTATACATATAATTCCATGTTCTGTGTCAACCTACAACTGTGCCTTACATTTTCATTTTCTTATATTTAATTACTTTAATCATTTATTCTGAAAAAGAAAAACTAGTCAGTTTAATAATTGTTAATGATGAGGCGTGCCCAGATAAGATTGTTTGCAGGGCGGCATTTACCCTCTGTAAATGCAAACCTTCATTCTTTGGGCCTAATCTGCCTCCGGTGACGCCCCCATTTAGGGTGACCCTGTTGGACAGATGTTCCCCCGCCATTCGCTTCCTACTATTCCCCCTCCCCCGGACCCCCTCCCCCAGGCAACCTCCCAGGGTTCCCATCAGGCGTACAGAAGCCCTCTCTCCGAAGTGGCTGGATGAGCCTCCGTTGGAAGGTTAGGTCTTTTGTACTACGAAGAAAGGGTCATAAATGTGTCCTCGTGCATCAGCTCCTGACAAAGGACTTCTGTTCCAGGTCGACAAAGAGACAAACACGGAGGAGGCGGAGGACACCGGCCTGGCGGTGCGGCCCAAAGAGCTCGGCGGGCGGAGCGCCCGGCAGCGCCCCCTGGTGAGGAGCAGCGTGATCGTGCGCTCGCAGACCTTCTCCCCGGGGGAGCGCAGCCAGTACGTGTGCCGGGTAAGGACCGCGTGCCGGGTAAGGACCGCGTGCCGGGTAAGGACCGCGTGCCGGTGAGGACCACGCTCCTGCTCGCCAGGTGCCCAGGGCAATGCCGGCAGTCCGCGTGAGCGGTGGAAATGCTCTATAAAGTGCCCATAAATATCACACTCTGATGGTTCCTTTTAGTTTGGGTTTTGGTGGGGTTTCTCAGCTTTCTTTTCTTAAATTTAACGTCTCATTGGCCCTCGTGCCATTTATTTGGCAAAGAAGTGAATTAGCAGTCTGTCTGCTGAGTATATTTGAACTTCAGTCTATTTACAATCTTAAGGTGACTTGAGATTCATCTTTTGTAGATCTCTGCTGTACATTATACACCATGTAAGTCCTGCTGATTCTATTTCCAGTAGTATTTATGATTTAGAAAAATAAAGTTTTAATATTACAAAACGGGTTAGGAAACACTGTTAAAACGCATACTCCTTCAATTCAAGAAATGTCTTTATGAAACACCTGCTGTTAAGCATTTTTCCGGATGCTTGGGGTTGGTGAACAACAGATACCCGAGCTCTTGCCTTGTAGAACCTGCACTCTCGTGCGTGGAGGCAAGCAGTGAACAGTACACGTGGCGAGTAAATGTCTGGAGTGCGGGCCAGGGCGGTGAAGACTAGGGGCTGGGAATGGTGAGGACGGGGGCTGCTCCTGAGGAGGGCTCTGAGCGGGCGGCTTTGCTAAGGTGACATTTCAGAGACCTGCCGCGGGCGAGCAAGCGAGGATGGGCTCTCCAGCTAAGGATTTGCCAGGCTGGGCAGAGTGTGTCTTCACCCGGATTCCGAGCCTTCTCCGTCAGCCTTTCTTTTAAAAACGAATAGTCAAATGCAAAAGGATGGGGTTTTATTCAGAGTTTGTATAATCATCTTAACACGTGGCTTCTGATAACTGCCACAAAGGGCAAATATTTAAATTATTTATGATGAGACTCTGTTGTAAGGTTATATATGTCTTTTGTACATGAAAGAAAGGGTCATATAATAGTAAATTATTTAAGAAAGCATACAGCAGGGAAAAGCTTGTTTGCGGAGGATTTTCTTTAAGAGATAAAGTGGGATGGCCATGTGCTTTTTCTGGTGAACGCTGAGTTGTCAGCTTCCTCTACGCTCTGTTATGCGGGGCTTCACTTTTTTTTTACCTTTATTGGCAGTTAAATCGGAGCGACAGTGACAGCTCGACCCTGGCTAAAAAGTCTCTGTTCGTGAGAAACTCCAGTGAACGGCGCAGTCTGAGGGTCAAAAGGGTACGTATTCCATCAGCCCCAGCCCACTGCCCGAGCCCCGTCCCCCGTCGGGGCTGAGAAGCGTGGGCACCAGAATGGCCCAGTGCCATGGCTCCCTGCATTTGGCCTGTTGAACGAAGCCACTGTGAAGACAGAGCCACAAATGTCTGCAGTTACGGAGATGGGGAGGGGATGCGCTGGGGACCATTCATGCATCACAGGTTGGGGTCCCGAGTGAATCAAGGCAGGACGTTGCTTTGCAGTGTCGATGGGGCGGGGCGGCCGAATGGGTTGCCCACGTCCCTACCAAGGGTGCGGTGTTGCCACACCACATCCGGCTCCTGAGCAATTGTGGGAAACGTGTGTCAGCCGGTACCTCCTCTCAGGCCCTGCATTCGGGCAAAGGACTAATGGTTTTAGGGGCTTGCCTGAAAGTGGGTATTTTTAGAAGGTTCACATCCACGTTGATGGGGAAGCTCAGGGCAGTCCCGGAGGCCACAGGTCCCTGGGTGGCTTTTCAAGGGTAAAGCTAAGATTTAAATAAATTAAAAGGCTGGGCAGTTCAAGTTGTTGGGAAATAACTGTCTCTACTTACCAACGGCTGAAATACCCATGGGCAGTTACTTATTCACTAACGATTCGTATTAGTAATAATTTGCTAGGCTGTTTCGTTGCAGCCTAAAGCATGTTTAGGAAGCACGCAGCCCTAGGTGTGCTGAGCTCTGCGGGTGAGGGGCGCAGCTGCAGGCGATTCCATCCAAAGGGGCCTCAGAGAGCACTCAGGACCCCGAACATGGTGGGTAAGGAGGGCATGAGCCCCACTGTGGGAGAATCGAAAGGCCTCGTGGAGAGGTCTGTGGCCTTGACACCTGGGTAAAATCTCAAAAGAAAATGGTAGCCTTGTCGGGGTTGGGGAGGGGTGGGGGGCAGGAAAACACATTGGGGGGGAGACTGGAGAGGTGAGTCGGAGGCGTTACCTTTCCTGGTGGCTCGGGGTCGATGCTGCTGTGCACAGTCCAGACGCGTGGCCAGACCCTGTTCGCGTCCCCCGGTGTAACGTCCAAGTTACTTGAAAGTGACAGGCTTACGTCTTTTTCTAAAGGCAAATATACTGCCATTACTTCACAGCAACATTTTCAGGGATTTCTGAGGTGTGGGTCTTTCAGATGATCACGTCTGTCCGTTAGAAGGAGCTCGATTTACATTGTCTCGAAGGAAAATTCTCAGTCCTTATATGTCACCTGCATTCTGAAGAGGCACAGGCTCGCAGAGGACAGTAGCCCTCTGCAGAGAAGTCTTCACCAGAAGTGTCTGTGAGTTGTGTGCAGCTGAAGACAGCCGGGTATTAGAACTGCTGGAATCAGACGAAGGATTGAATCCTGTTGAATCCTGAAACCTTTTGTGCAGGAAATGATTGTTAAATGGTTCTTAAAGCAGATGGGGTTTGGTACACGTGAATGGGGAACGGTATTCTGAAATGGTAGGAGTTGCCTCATGAAAAAGGTGTAGAGGTGTAAGAAAAAGGCGTCTGCACAGGTGAGCGGAAGGTGTACCGGCTGCGAGAGCAGAGAGCCAGGCTCGAGGCCCGGGGTCTGTGCTGGAGCCTCCTCGGGCTGGCTGGCAAGAGTATCCACACCAAAGAAAGTGGCCAGCCCTGCAGATTGGGAGCCAGGCCGCCGCGCATTGGGGAGGTTGCAGGTGCAGGACAGGTGAGAAGGGTGTCTGGTTTTGAAAACCGAGAAGTACAGTCACAGAGTGTGTGTCTGCGTGGCTCTGCTGTGCAACCAGTTTGTTAGAGCAGAGGCTGGGCGAAGGGAACCTACAATGGGAAGGTTCAGGACGCTAGAGAACTGATACTGCAGCAGCGTGTGCTGGACGAGGAAGGGCCGATAAAGGGAAGTCAGCCGTGGGCGAAGGCTCCGAAGTGAGAAAAGGGCAGACAGGCCCCTCCCTTACGTCCTTCATGGCGCCCTGTTGTTCCAGGTCTTCGGGCTGGAATCATTCTCAAGTTTGAGTTCCTTCTCTCTTGTATCAAATAGCTTTTATTAGTGATGTCTGGTTTTCCATCCCCACTGCCAATGGCGTAGGCAGGAAGCGTCCTGCCGGTGCTCTTCCCCAGCCCCATGTGGAGCCCCTTCCTCGAGCCAGTCTGACCCAGGCCAGTTGGTCTCTCCCTGCCCTCACTCCCTGGGGCACAGAAGTCTCTGCCTCAGTGTCTCTTGCCATTCTCTAATGGAAGTCCTCAAGGTCCCAAATTGTGCCTTCTCTTCTGAGTGCTTTGCATACAACCCCCAGCAGAGGTGCATCCATGCACATTCAGATTCCTTCCCGGTCGATGGCAATGCAGCTGCAGGAGAAATGCCTGTGATGTGGGTGATGTGACAAGGGAGGAGCCAGGATTCCAGCCTTGGTTGGAGGAGCGAGTCCTAATGTGAGCTCCCCGGACCTTCCAGCTGGCCCTCGCAGAAGTGGTAGCCGAGGCTGTAAGCGCTGGGGGTAGTTCTGTGTCCTGCAGTGAGGTGAATGTACGTCCCTGTGACATACCTGATTTTCACAGAGGGCGGCCTTTGTGTAGTCAGGTGGTCAGGCTAAGCGAGGCTCTGCTGTGGGAAAAGTCTCTGGGGTTAGAAACGATCAAGGTTTATTTCTTGCTTAGCTGCTTGTTCCCCGCATTTGGGCTGGATGCTCTGCTCCTACTGTCCCCACTCAGGACCCCTCTCCAGATCTTTGCTGTCCCTCCAGCAAGTGACAGAAATGTGCAAGTCGCACACTACATTGGAAAGCTTCTGCCCGGAAGTGACAGGCACCCCTCCCAACTGGACCTGCCTCTGGCCAGAGCGAGTGGCTTGGCTGGTCACGCCTCACCCAAGTGGGCAAGGCCGTGCCACCCAGCACGTGCCAGGAAGCAGGAGCAGCGCCGTGACGGGGGCTTTGTGGTTTGTTTTCCCACCGTGCAGGCGGTCTGCCAGCCTGTCCTTAGGAGAGCGGCGCAGGAGCGCCCGGCGCGCACGTCCCTGGACTTGGAGCTGGACCTGCAGGCCTCCCTGACCCGGCAGAACCGCCTTAACGACGAGCTGCAGGCCCTGCGGGGCTTGAGGCAGAAGCTGGAGGCGCTGAAAGCCCAGGGGGAGATGGGGCTCCCCGAGGGCATGCTGCAGGACGAGCGCTTCCAGACGCTCCTGAAGCAGGTACGGCCCGGGGCGGCCGGGGTCTCTGGGGGGCGGGCGTGGAGGGGCCTGCTCAGAGCCCCCAGGAGGAGGTGCCCGCGCCACACCTGTGGGTGGAAACTGAAAGAGATTAGTCACTCCCTCAAACTCATAGAAACTCGTCCGTCCGTAGTATCGACCTCTCTTTTCGGCCCAAAGTTCTTTTTCAGTCGTGGAGTGTATGGCAACTTTGAGTCACTTAACTGACCTACACTGCTCATTCTAGATCAAACTCAGAAACTCAACATCTAAATTTCAGGGGTCAAACTGACACCAGTAGTTTTTACAGAAAGTTTAAGCAACACAGTGCTTAATACATATCTGCATTATGTCTCCCCCACCCCCGGTAGAAAGAAACCGTCACACAGAGCAGGAGCTCAGTAGGCACCTGTCCAGTGGGGACAGTCTGGATAACTGGACACTGGAACATTGGGCGGGGGGAGGGGGCCGTTTGTAAAGTATATGCTTGTCCAACCAGTAGGCTGTACACCTGAAACTAATACAAAATAATACTGAGCATAAACTGTTATTGGAAAATAAAGTTAAAAAATATATGCCCACAATTTGGACGAATATCTAGGAAAAGATAACATATTAGAACTGAGGAAAGAAGGGGGGTGGGAAATCTAAATCCCTACACCTCGTGTTTCCCCTACCTCTTAAGGAAATGCGAGGAGTGATGATATTGATGGGGGGGTGAGCTTTGCCGTTTTTTAGGGCAACGCTTGTTTTCGTTCTACATAAAAGAGACACTTTATCCCTGTAGATGAAAAGAGGAGGGTGTGCAGAGCCCAGGAGCCCAGGAGACAGACCTCAGGGCTGACCCAGGTGGGCTCTCGGTGCCCTGCAGAGAGAATCGAGGTGTGGTGTGCACCTGTCCATTTCCACGGTTTGTCTCTTACTGAGCCGGTCAAGCACCACGTGTTTTCAGCTGTGGGAAATTCTGTGAGGGGCCTTTTGGGGGACTGGATCCCTGTAGAAAAGAGAAACCTCTTCCCGCAAACCCTCACTCTCCTGGGGGCCTTCTGCCTGGTCCGCCTGTGCCCCGGGGTGTGAAGAGGCCGCCATTCTGCTTCCTCCCTGTTAGGGTACTTTGTGCCAAACATCCACTGCACCCTCGGCGAACATCTCCGCCACCTCGTGAAGGCCTGGTGAGTTGCTTACCAGATGTGATGCAACCCTATTTGGGTCACGTTTGCCCCCCCACCTGCCTGTAGAATAAAGAGTTTCCCTGCAACCGAAGTGTGATGAAAAGCTGACTGGCAGGCATGGTTGGCGGCCCCAGGAGAGCAGGGCACTTGGGGTCTGGGCCCTGCCCCCAGAGTGAGGCATGGCCACAGTGTGGGCACCCTTGGTCCAGGCTGTGCGGGGGACCACATTCCAGGAACGCCAGCATCTGCAGATCAGTTAGGATTCCTAGGGACTGTGTAACACACCGTTGGTGCGTGAGCCTCAGCTCTCTGGCGGACTGCCCTGAACCCAGAGTTGCAGGCCGTTCGGTGCCCAGCACCCCGAGTGGTGATGAGGAGGAAGTGGCCCGGTTGCACCCCCAGGCTGCCGAGGTCCCTGACTGCCCCCGGTTGGTTTGTTTCCACACCTGTCAAACGGTCCGTGGTGACAGATGTAATCTCAGAAATGTCAGGCCGGTTTCCCAGGCACAGAATGAAGTTGAACGAAGTTCTCTTGTAAGTGACCTCTGAGAAGTGTCACCTCTGCCATCAGGCAACCATGGGTGTGACATGAGTGGCCTTCTCCCCTTCCTTCCTCCACATATTATCATCTTGAGTCCCCCCTCGCAAATCACCATCTGAAAGGCTGACATCCCTACCTGCTGCTGCCTCAGTGCAGCCCCAGAACCCCCTTCTCTGTGCAGGTGCTGCTCTGGGCTGTGGGGCTTCGCTCTCCACCAGCTCAACACCCTTGGCACCTCTGCGAAGGCCCAGTGTCTAATTGCTTCCCATATCCGCGAGATTCGGGGAGACCTGCGGACCTAGAAGCCCACGTGGCCTGAAAGAGCGAAGCTTCAGGGCATGGGGGGTACTCAGGTAGTTCTGAAGTTCAAGGTCGATGTGGGTTCTCGAAGCTGTCGTACCTGAAGATGATCACAGTTCAGGCTTCCGTGGGTCATGCAGAGCAGGTCTCCGCGCCGGCCCGCCGTCTTTGTGTCCGTCTGCATCAAGCAACAGTAACAAAAACGTGCAAAGCAGGTGGCATTCATACCATTTTTAAACAACCGATTCTCCTGAGTCTACATATTTTCCTGTGTACTTTTACCAGTGCCAGGCGCAGACAGACTACATGAGTTACGCACATGCCTCGGCCACCACGGAGGTCGGGAAGAGCCAGCACCATGAGAACACAGGCTGTTTCATCGTGTGCCTTCCATCACGGCGGCAGGAGTTGCTAGTAGCCAGTGCCTTCTCCCTCCTGTCCCCTCCATCTCCATGTCCCCTTCCTTACGTGCGTGCGGACACGCCAGCCCGCACTCACACGCCGCCCTTCCATTCCCCGTTGTCATGCTGGGGACTTGGGAGATTTTTCAGCGGACACTCATAAAATGCCTGACAGTGAGCAGAGAACCTGCCAATTGCCACAAAAACGGCTCCCAGAAAGGCCATTTGCTGAAGCCAGCGGTGTACCCTGGATTTACCACCCCTCAGGGAAGCCTTCAGGTCTCTGGGTCACCCTCTGCCTTCCCCCCACCAGGGTGACTGGTGTCTGTCTTGTAGCATGGAATAAAACTTGGGTCACAGACACTGTCCTCAGATATTACACCAGCCCGAGGAAGCAGCAGGCAGCTGGAGGGCTGTGCGTGGAGATGGGGCCGTGCACCCCACCGCCCAGGCTTCTTCACTCGACTGTAGGTAAATTCCCAGGCCTTCCTGCGGGCCAGGCCCCCAGCACGTAAACTGAAGGCTGGTCACACTCTTCTGGAGTCCGGGGCAGTGCAGGGGGGCACCTGATCCTCAGGGACCAGGCTTCTCATCCGACTTGTTGGCGGGGCGGGGAGAGGTGGCAGGGGGGGGCCCACATCTTTCCAAAGGAGCCTCAGGGCGCCCCGCCCACAAAGCCGAAATTTATTTTTCTTCCTCAGAGTGTTTCCCTGTCAAAAAGCCAATGGTCTGTGGTGCGACACATTTTGAAAGTTTAACATAATACAGGTGTTCACCTTTTTAAAAGAATCTGTTAAGACAATTATGCACCAGAAATATTAATACACTGCATTCAACCAAATTAATCTGAATGATTGCAGTGAGGTACTCACCCCTGAGACTTCACCGCCTTCAGAGTTGGCTACAATTGACTATTAACTGACAAAAAGCTTATGATGTGATTTGTCACCCAGGTTTCTGGGGACAGATATAGACACAGGTACAGATATAAATCATAAACACGGAGACCAGTGTAGACCTCAGCAAGGTGTATACTTACTCAGCAGAAAAAGGAGTATCTCGTGTGTTCTGTGGTCAGTTTGTTTTGCAGCAAACAAAGCCAGGTTTCAAAGTGCCTCTGCAGTCACCACAGAAAGGCTGTTGGTCAAAAATACCAGCAGCCACGAGGCTACTCAGAGGGACTGTCTGACCAGGGCTTCGCAGGGGAGAAAGCAGACCGACAAATTGCACTCCGGGGAAGGAGACGAAAGACCGGGCGGGATCCCGGGGGCCCGTTGTGTTCCTGGTCTGATAAAACACATTTTTGGGGGGAAACTGGGGCCAAATGTTCTCACCTGAGTGGATCCAGCAGATACCTCCCCTCCCTGGGGCTTCCTGACCTCCCCATCGTGCAAGTCGGTACACGGTTCTTCAAGTCTGGGAAGCCTCGCAGCACACCCCTGGGGATGGCCACTCAATAATCGGTGTTTCCTGGGGGTTTCGGTTTGGACTTCCCTCTCCAGGCCGAACAGTCCAAAGAGGAGCAGAAGCAAGGCTTGAACACAGAGAAGCTGATGAGGCAGGTCTCCAAGGACGTGTGCCGGCTCCGGGAGCAGAGCCGGAAGGTGCCGCGGCAGGTGCAGTCCTTCAGGTACACGCCGTGCTGGGTCATTGTCGGGGTACCGTCCAAATTGAGCAGGGGTTCACCAGGAGTGCCCTGGACATCCGCTGATGTCCACCTTCCTCAATTCTCGCTTTCGTCTCCTAAGGAATTGAACAAGCCACAGGACACTAGGCCACAAAGATGAGTCTCGTTCCAGCTCCCAGCATTTGTTCACTCTTCCTTTTCTCCTGCTTCTTTTCCTTGGTCTTTTCCACCTCGTTCTAGCTTCTGGCCCCACACTCCCACCCCATCCAGACTGTTATGTCCTCAAGGGGGGATCAGAGACCTATCCTTCTCGGCTACCAGCATGTCTGCATATAGAACATACGCTCAGTACATGTGTGTCGATGGGACAGTAGGTACAAGGTGAAGATTTTGTAGGAAAAATAATGGACACACAGCCCCTGTCTCTGGTAACTATACAGTCTGAAAGCCTTATTGTCTTAACACTCTCTCAACCTCTAACAACCATTCAGCCACTTTCCTTCCCAATTTCTCCCTTTCGGGTTGTTACTGCCTGTCCTTGCTTCAGGACCCAGGGAAAATTCACCCTTAAAACAGTCTGGTCCCATCTCCCTTCGTCTGAGTCAGGGTTATTTATTGCTCATCAAGCTGCAGAATACAGATCGTAAAGGTATCATGATTGGTATCATGATTTTCTGTGAGGTTCCTGAGAATGTCCCTATGACTTTGCGGTCTTGACTCCTCTCCGACCTGGTTTAGAGACGTCCCTACCTAGGTGATCGTTGACGTTGGAAGTCCCGGCAGGGAGGGCCCTGCCATGGTCTGCAGGGCACGGGCCGTGAGCCAGAGCCGCTGCCTCCCTGCGCTCTGCTGGAAGGGTAGAGGCCCTCTCGATTTTGAGCGGCATCCTTTGGGAAAGCGGTTCCTGCTGCCCAGGAACCGTGTTTGTGGACACGCCTCGGGAGGTCTGGGGACCATTTCTCAAGGTCGCAGAGTCTTGGCAGCATCACAGTGAAGTGGGTCTGTTCCGCACCCCGACTCCAGGGAGAAGATCGCCTACTTCACCAGGGCGAAGATCAGCATCCCGTCCCTGCCGGCTGACGACGTGTGAGCCCATCGCCGAGGAAATGAGCGTTTCCTGGAGAGGACAGGAGACTGAACGCTGGTTCTGTAGGTTGGTTTGCAGGGGCTGAACTGTAACTGTCAGCTCTGAAAGAGCTTTTACTTCACATCAAGATTTCAACATGGTCATTTGTAAAGTATCTTGAATGTAATTTTTATATTTTAAAAAAAAGCAAAAAAAATCAGATAACCAAAATGGGATGATCAGGCACACAAATGGTGTACGGTATGTGTGTGTTGCCAAGGGCCTTTATTTTGTGAAAGCGGAACCCGGGGTGTGTCCTATTGAACAGACTCTGGAGAAAGAACCCCCACAAGGTGATCCTTGCTTTTCCTTTGCTTTCCCGTGAGTAGACCGGGAAGCTGGCCAGAGCACCATGTGGTGTTCTTGTACCAGACACCAGCTTGGTACAGTTGACCGTGAGCTTCAGTGCAGAGTTCCAAGTCCACCTGTGTTCATTTCCATCCCCTGTGTTGGAACGCCTTGTTTCCTTAAAACAGTCTCTCTTTTGTCCTTTTCTGTTGGTCTAAAGGATACAAAAACAAAGCGCAGAGCCCGGGACCCTTACTCCTGGCCGCACTAAAGACCCTGTGGCAGTTGACTTCGGGGGCAGGGAGGTCAAAGGAGAAAGCCAGGCGCCCTGCGGCACCCCGGTAGAGGCGCCCGCTCGGCCAGAGCGAGGGAAGCCTTCAGGCGCGAGCTTCTGGCCTGCGCCTGCACCACAATGCTCCGTCCGAGGTCTGAGGGTGGTGTCAAGGAGAGGAACGTGGTGGCCCGACATCTAAGGACAGACATTCTGGTGACATGGGGGGAAGCGCATCAGCACTCATTTGGTGAGATCAGGAAGAGAGGCAAGGGTGTCTTGAATGAATCAAAGTTGCCAAAACAAAATTAAAGCTTTTGTTAAACAGATTGGTAGCACTGTATAGCATTGACTTTGCAGCTCTCATGGACGGGGCCTACCTATAACTCGTGGTGAGGAGTCGGGAGGCGAAGAGAAGAGGGTGCCTGGCGAGATTTCTAATTTGAAGTATAGGCTGTCGTTTGCTTTAAAAAATGCCATTGCCAATGAACAGGTTCAGACACACGATCTGACCAAAGGCTCTTCTGGGCAGAATTTTAGCTGGCCCGGCCCAAGCACGTCCTCACAGAAACAGCCCCGGTGCAGCTCAGCCTGCACAAAGACTTCCAAAATATAAGCAGTTTTGTGCAATTTCATACTTACTACTCACTCTGTAATACTGGAAGAGGTCATTTTTGGTTAGCCATCTTTTCATAGCAAACTACATCAGTTTTTTTTTAGAAATGCAAATGTCCTTTTGAAGGAATGGGCCCCTTCACACACACACACACACACACACACACACACACAGTTCTATTTCTAAGCTAGACTCCTCATTAGCAAGAATTATTTTCTTGAAAGTCATCACACATATTTTAGAAGGTTCATTTTATCAGACTCGAAGTTCCAATGAAGCCATTTCTGAGCCTAGAATTTTAATTCTTTTTCCCTAAGTGACCCACCACTCTGGGCAAAAACCAGCCTTGTGGGTTGAGCACGGTCCTTTGGGGCTGTCAGTTCATTCCATCAGATGAGGAAAACGAGAAGAAAACTACCATCCGTCCTTGTCAAGGTCAAATGTGAAAGACAGAGGTTTATTTAATGTAGGATCAAATGAAGGTCAGCTGCTTTCAGCTTCTCAGTTTGACCACGAAAATGTTGATAGGAGTATGTGTAGTTGCGCCGTACGATTTTATTTTCTTCATTTATTTATTTACGGTCTTATTTATGTTCTGTTTAATATATAGTTCGGTTCTGGCCATTTTAAATGTTTGACATAGGAGAGGCTATATGGGAATATTTACAGCTTTATAAATCTTCATCAGATTAGTTGTTAACTTTTTGTGATACAAGAAGTTTCAGACAAGTATAAAAGAATAAAATCTGTCTCAGGCTGGTAGTTAACTCTTGTGACCAAGATGCTTTTGGTCTTATTTTACAAAATTTGCTCATTTCTAACATGAGAGATAAACTTATTTTAATATAATCCTTTTTCACACTTTAAAAATCAGTAATAGTGTTATGTATTTATAGGCGGCTTTTAACAATCCTGTCATATTTGTTCTAATCCCAATGATTCACAGTGACAAAACATTTTAATAACATCACAAAAGCATATGAACAATATGAATTTTAATATTATAAATACTATTTTTAAAAGTAGAACTTATTCTGCACAGGGTAAAAAGAATATAATATTTAGTTTGAATTCTCAGTATATTATTACAACTTTGTATATCGGAATCTAAGTGTCGCAGGTACAGAAAGAATGTTGCTAGCCAAGTGAACAATGTTTAGCTGGTCTCTGTAGCATGCAAATCAAATAAATTTAAAGTCTTTTTTTTGCTATTACTTTATATTATGTTAAATATCAAAAGCTCAGGACTGAACTAAATATTTAATCAGGTTAAATTCTGAATCTGTTTGTTTTAATTTGTCTTGTTTGTAAACGTGTGCAAATACATCACATAGATTAACTAGTTTCTGCACTTTTCCTTTGTCTGTGGGCGGAAAAAATATCGATGGGTTTTGGGGTTTTTTTTCAACAAAGATACATATTGCCTAAGAGTTTATTTGTGTCCTTTGTTGTTGAGGCAATTTCCCTGACTGGCTCAAACACAAGAGTTTACTTTGAACTGTGTACCAAGCAAATATAAAATCTTTCACAATGAATTCCCCAAGCCAGCGGTTTGTCGTGAATACTTATTAGTTGGACGATGTGTAAAACCTGGCTCCGGAGCCAGCGGGCCAGGAGGTTCACTGCCCACACACCCCAGTGCTGCTCTGCAGCTCCCTCAGCGGCCACTCCGCAGCGGCTGGGGTCCGATGACCATCCCCCACTCCTGACGTGCAGAGTGAACATGGCCCGCTTGTGGGACAGGCTCCACAAGGGTTCCGAAGTCTCTGATTAAAGAGATGATGAGCCCACGGCTCTCACCTCTCAAGCTTCCAAAGAGCTGGCATTTTTTTAGTTATAAGCAGATGTCATACATGTTAAATAAGTACGCAGTGAGACTGTTTCTCTATAGTAGGTGGTCTTAAACACCTGGAAGAAGTGATTAGCAGTAAGATTTCCAATTGCCAGGATGATGCATTCTTACAAATAACACCTTCAAAGATACATAAGTACTGATAGAATGTTTTATTTGCCAGTTCTGTGCAATCACAGAATCTGTTAAAATTCAGAAAACTCATTTACAATAATGAGCATGAACACTATTAAGTCTTGATTGGTTTTGGACTCAGAGTAAGAGATAAAAGCGGGTTTATCATCTTAGAAAGAAATCCTAGTGGAAGCAGCTGGTAGCGACATGCGCTGTGGAGAACAGTGTGGTGACAGGTGACTGCAGCAGGAAACCCTCCGCGGTCCGGGCTGCAGCCCACGGTGCCGGAGGAGTGGGCGCCGCAAATGCCGTCTGCCTTAGATTTGCAGGTGCATGTCCCTCATCTCCACAGGGTACTGACGGAGACCCTGTGCCTCCGCTGCTGAGCTGTGGCCCGAAGCCAGAGGAGCATGGGCAGAACAGGCTGCCCAGATGAGCAGACACCCCCCTACCAGGAGAGAAAACCCAGCAAACCAGCCAAGGAAGAGGGCCTCCCCAAACTCCCACCTGGGTACAGTCTCCAAGATGGTCTCATCCCAGAACTCCTGGACAGTCACGTGGGCGACCCAGGACACAGGCACCAGTGCTGCGAGGCCGGCGGTCCACAGCAGAATCCCTCCCAAGATTAGCAGCCACTTCTTGAGCTCTTGCTGTCTCTCTCCAATTCTCAAGCAGTCCAGCCCAAACCCGGACACCAGCAGACCCAGAAAGCCCAGCCCATTGGACAGGAACATTAAAACCCTGGAGATCCGGAGCTCAGCGGGCAGAGCCAGGAAAGAATCAAAGTCTTTGCATTGTGTCCCCACTTCATCCTGGATGACGCAGGCTTGCCAGAGTCCTATGGTCCAGTTTTCCATTATGTTCAAGTCCAGGTTGAGGTTTTTCCAATGGGGCAGGTAGTTTGTGAGACAGGTTAAAACCCATCCCAGCAAAGAGAGTGAACTTCCAGCTACTTGGGCAGCAGTTCTAAATACTAAAGCCATTCTAAAGTCCTGTGAGCTGGAGCCGAACTAATTCCTTCCTTTCAGGTGCGGTGAAAAGTGCGGCACACTTGTGTTTTCACTTGCAGAACTCAGAAATAGCTTTTCATTGTGTATATAAGAGGATTCTTGCCAGAGTCTCTATTGTTTGATTCCATGTTCAATAGGTTTCATAAAAGGAAAGGGAACTAATTCTGCAAACCAGTAATGACAAGGAGTGGCCAGAACCCAGTTTCTAGTAAGCAATTTGTCCCTGAAAGAACATTAAGCGGTAATTATCCTCCTCTCATTGCTAATGTCTAAATGGCCTTCCTGTTGTTCCCAACCTTCCCGACAAGTCAAAGAACGAAGAAGTCTAAATGCAGAATGTTTGATTGACAGTTTGCATTTGGGTTCAAGGCCTGCTGCTTCACAACTTGCTAACTGCACCCGCCAGGGTTTTGTCTGTGATCGTTCTCGCATTTCAGTACATATGTTGTGCTACGAAGTGTTATCATTTGAAAAAAAGGGTTTAAGAAAAATATTTCTTAACCAAATAAATGGATTTTAACAAATTTCTCTAGCTCTTATCTCAGGCCTACTTTTGAAAAATTCCTTAGGCTATGCATACCTCAACATACGGAACAATATTAAACAAAATATCAACTCTTTACCTACATTTCTTTCTGTCAAATTCATGCATAGGTGCATCAACATTTTTTTGCTTAAATATGTTTTCTATGCTATGGAAAAGTTAAGCAATGAGACTTTGTAGAGTAAAGTCAACATCTCTTTTGCTGCAACCCTGGAATACATATCCCCCAAACTTTTCATGGTGCAAAGGGAAGTTTTTATCAGGGCGAATGAACTGTCGCTATCTTAGTATCAAGCAAAAATCTTCAATTGTTTAACTTTTGAAGTGTGAGGCTTTTGAGGGAAGAGACCAGAGAGGAGATAGCCAGCATTTTGAATGCAAGCCTATTGAAATGGACTGAAAACCTTTTAGCCCCCTAAAACCGTGTCTTACAGGGCACCTTGCAATTTCCTACACACGAACCACCTCTGATCAAAGAGAATCAAAGCTGTTGTTGTGGAAATTACACCTTGGGATCAGCCTAACCTGTGGTCTTGCCGAGTTCTTAAAAGATTTCAGTGTGTTAGTTTTCTCTTTAGGAAGCAAGGTGATAATTATCTCCAGCTACCAACAAAAACAAACAAAACAGCCTCTAATATAAAACAAGCACACTAAAACTTAATCCTGACCATGCTGGACAACCACCACCACATTCTGATTTAAATAACCAGATCACTGAAATATTTTTGCTCATACCTGTGTCATGCTTAATGAACACAGTCATTTTCTTTCAGATATAGGATTGCCTCTTCTCCAGATTTCTGAGGGGGAAGGAGGATCCAGGATAAGAGAGTAATTATTAAATGAGAAAGTGTGAGCAGCACAGATTTTGTGGCATAACCAAGACCCCTTTCTTGTGTCGACTCGTGTGTCACAGGTGGTGCAGATAACACATCTGTCTGGTCTTGTCAAAGTCACACTTTCAGAACTGCAGTGCCATTTTCTGGGTATGGACACTGAGCCTCTGTTTCTGCCACTGTGTAGTGGCCCGAAGCCAGAGGAGCATGGGCAGAACAGGCTGCCCAGATGAGCAGACACCCCCCTACCAGGAGAGAAAACCCAGCAAACCAGCCGAGGAAGAGGGCCTCCCCAAACTCCCACCTGGGCACAATCTCCGGGATGGTCTCATCCCAGAACTCCTGGACAGTCACGTGGGCGACCCAGGACACAGGCACCAGTGCTGCGAGGCCGGCGGTCCACAGCAGAATCCCTCCCAAGATTAGCAGCCACTTCTTGAGCTCTTGCTGTCTCTCTCCAATTCTCAAGCAGTCCAGCCCAAACCCGGACACCAGCAGACCCAGAAAGCCCAGCCCATTGGACAGGAACATTAAAACCCTGGAGATCCGGAGCTCAGCGGGCAGAGCCAGGAAAGAATCGAAGTCCTTACATTGCCGCCCCACTTCTTCCTGGATGACGCAGGCTTGCCAGAGTCCTATGGTCCAGTTTTCCATTTCGTTCAACTCCAGGTTGAGGTTTTTCCAATGGGGCAGATAAGTTGTAATAATGGATAATACCCATCCCAGCAAAGACAATAAAAGTCCAAGGGATTGCATTACTACTCTAAAGACAAAAGCCATTGCCACAAATCTTGTGACTTTCTTGCCACTCCTCTAGGAGCCGGAGTCTGTTTGTGGTGGACAGTAATCTGCTGGGCTTGGTTCTACGCGGCCTGGGATATAAGCTTTGCTCATTAACTCCTTGGCACCCTGAAATGCGTTTTTGTTCTTTGTGAATACGATGCTTCATGTAAAGGATGCAGGGTTCGGTTCAAACTGTGAGTTAGGCTTTCTGATAAGGATTTGACCTATTACCTTCCGATTTGCTTGGTATTATATCCCCGAGGCTTGATGATGCTAAGTCTAAGGATGAACAAAGAGGCCTCTATGACCCCTCACCCTAAAGGACAACAGAAATCTTTGTGCTTCAATATGGATTAATTAGATTTTAAGTGGTGATAAAAGGCCGGCTCTCTCTATAACAGGACTTCATTGTAATCGCTGAACCTGAGATTTCAGGATGCAAAGCAAACCCTTGTAAAGAAAGGCGGACTTTCCCTATAATCTTCACTCTCCTTGGACTCCCTCAACCTACACGAGAACCTGGCCCGAGTTCTTCAGTGTCACAGGAACGCGGCCGGGACTTGGCAGGAGCGGCTCCCTCAGATTCCTGGGAAAGGTGGATGCTGGTTCACTGGGCTCATTAAAATGGAAACAGTGGAGGCTCGTGCCAAGGGAGGAAGGGCTCGTCCTGGGAAGCTCTGGGTTTAGATGTCGTCCATCCTCGTTAAGGACTTGGGGTACAGCTTTCTGTCCAGCGCTGAGCTGTCTTTACTGTCACAAGCCCCAGTGTGAGGACTCCCGCAGTTCAGAACATAAGGCTCTGGCTTGGACACAAGAGCCACAGTGGAGCTTGTGTTTGGTTTTTTGGTTCAGGCCACTCCTTGGGAACACACCACAGAACTGTTCCCTCAGAGGGTTCCCAGGACTGCTCCAGGCCCTGCAGGGGCCAGCTGCTCTCTGCAGGCCCCCCCCCAGGGCATCCAGCTCCCCAGTGAGCAGACAGCACCCAGTGGGCCTGTGTGGTGGCCCCTCCTGGTGGGCAGAGCCTCCGCCCGTCCATCACATGGCAGCTGTTGAGTCTAGTCCGGCGTCAGAGACGAGCTTTTATGATCTCACTCAACAGGAGGCCAGAGAGACAGAACTCCCATCCTGCCGGAGCCGCATCAAGCACAAGGGTCGGCATTCTCCATGACTTTAAAGATAGACTCTTTCTTAACTTTTACAGATTTGTAGGACCCCTTAGGACATAATGCCATCCTCAGTGGGCTAAAATAAGAAACTGTTCCAGTTTGCACAAAGGCACAGGCTCCAGCCAGGGCTAGGGATTTGCCCAGCCCCTCATCCTCAGGAGACAGGCTGACAGGAAACAAGAGCTTCCCTCCCGGGAGGCAGGCAGGAGGGAGAAAGCTGGGAGCAATCGCTAACAGTCGCAGCGAGCTGGCTCTTCATATCACACTGAAATGCTTCATTAAGAATGGACGGAACAGGCTGCCCCATGAGACAGCCGCTCTCTGTCCCAAAGGTGCAGAAAGGGCCGCTCCCCTGTCAAGGCTCTCAGCAAGGAAGTTGCCACCGTGGTGGCAGTTGGACCAGTAAGTGCCCTCTGGACTCAGGTATTCTTTCAACATTGAAAACAAAAAATCATTTGCGAGCACCCCCTTCCAGCCAGGCAGTGACTGCTGAAGGCCTGAAGACCTAGCCAAGACCAGCATGGATACAGGCCCTGCCCTGTATCCAAGAAAAAGGTAGAATTCGAATCAATGAAAGGAGCAGGTGGGGGTGTCCCAGGCAGAGAAAGCCCAGCACCAGAGCCCTGAGCCTGGGGGGCAGGGAACCCCACCCCACACTCCTGACCCTGAGGCCTCCCTTCTCCACACTGCAGTTCAAGGACTAGCTGCTTAGACCACGTGGAGCGGTGGGAGGTGGGGCCGGGTGAAACTCAGCCAGAAAACAAATACTATGGCCACCCCATTGCTCGACAAGGCCTTCGTTGCTTCTGTCTCAGGAACATTAATCTAGAAAAGGAGAGGAACCCTTCCTATTAATTAGGACTCAAGAGGTCAGCTCATGTGCATGTTTGATGGTCCAAAGGTTCAGGTGACCAACCATCCCACTTTGCCCAAAGCCACACACCCTGAGAAACCTCTCGGTCCAGGACAAGGGTTGATAAATGGCTCCACATAAACCAAAGTTAGCCACTTAACCGATAACCATGTGCCTGTGTGGTGTGTATGAGCCTGCAGTTGGGTGAGACTGACTGAGAAGGGACGATTCGTCTCTGCTCCCGGGGGGTGTCAGCTGAGGCTGGGCCACATGGCCTAGTCTCGAAAGTCACCAATGTCACTTCTGCCATTCCCTCATAGACAAGGCAGTCACAAAGGCCTGCCCTACTCAAGGGGAGGGAATAGCAAGGTTCTAGAAGAGCTTGTGGGACTGGAAATATTTTTGTGGTCATGTTTGGAAAATAAATCTGTCACGAAAAGAGTAAATCAGATTGACCCGTTAAATGGAGCCATTGACCAAAGCCGGACACCAAGAGAGGCAGGGCATGCATCGCAGAGAAAAGATGGGCTTTCTCTCTCTGCTTGGTGTTACGCTCTTACGCTCAAGGTTAGTTAAGTTCATGGTCACACAAACTCTCTGGGTTATGCAGACTTTGACAGGTCTGGTACCAATTCCCGTCACTGGCAGCCTGTGCCTTTGCCCTCGGCTGCTCGTCCTGCCTTTTCGGCTAGTGCAGGGCCGCCCTCAGAGGAGGAAGTCCCAAGAAGGGCTCCGGTTCGGCCTGGGGTGTTCCGGCTCCTCCTCTGTGCCACGGACCGAGGCGGAGC